TTATTTACAAAATTCAAAAAAATTTCACCAACTTTGAGGCCATCTAGCGACAAAACTATGCGATTTCGGATATAGGTGAATTAGCCCACGAATCTGTGGTCTTCTGTTAATGTCAGTCCAACCCTCAGGGACAAAAATAAATCCTAGGACTACTGTGACTATCGCCTTCTTTTCGACAATGTCCAAACCATAGAAACGTCGAAATACAAGGATTTCTTTAATTTTTTGTTGTGGTCACAGAAAACATTGCTACCCATGTAAACATCGTAAAATGTACCTTTTGTGTTTTTTCTAGTACTAGTACATACTCGTATTATAGTTCAGGAAGCGTAATGATAAACATAACAGGTAAAAACATACTTTTTTTCTTATTCTAAATGTATTGTCAGCTTGTAAACTGTCTTACACTCTGCAGAAAACTAGTATAACTGATACAGTGAAGAGAAATTGTGTCTAACTTGCTTAGATTTTGTAAAACTCTCGACTCTCTTAAGCGATTTGTTTTATAAAATTAGTATGAGCGCAATTGTTTTTTTAGTTGTCTTTTTTGGTGGCCCTTTGTGTTTTAATAAGAATTTGCGTAATAAATCTTGTACCTATTTGGAGCGAATTCAATAAAGACATTTCCATTCTTGCATATCCTACCCAGTAAGCCGCCTAGCCGTAACGGCGCAGGGGCACATAATCCGAAAATATTAATGGGCATTACTTTTTGTTAGCATAGATACATTTTCTCCACAGAGTACCTCAAGCAACATTTTTCTTACAGATGCTCCTCATTAATACCTTTCTCTCGATAATAGGATCAGGGAAATTTTTTTCTATGAAAATTGTTAAAATATGCGTTGTGAATTTTAGTCTATTGCAGTGGCAACATTTCATGATACAAAAAAAGTCCAGTACAAATAGATGAGGTTAAAATAATATCAGTTCCTCATATAAAATTTTTTCATACGGGCCTTCGTTAACAAGTTACGGGCCTTCAAATGTGAAAATTAAAAAGTTATTTTTGTTTACATCCTCTAAACTATTCAATTTATATGAAGTACTGATATTACTTTGACCTCATCTATTTGTACTCGATTTTATTGTATCAAGTACCGGGACACCCTCTATATTTTGGCCTTAAAATTCTGCCTTTTGTAACACCCTGTATAGACATTCTTACAAGATTTTTTTTCTTTGATTGAGGGCTATGATAAAAGAAGCCACGAAACGGACACACTGTATTGCAGTTTTATTATAGTCCTTTTAGGTATATCATTATCAACTATCTTTGCAATCTCTTTCCACGTTTGGCGTCACAATAAATATTGAAAAAATAACATTATATAACTTCTTTCTCCTTCAAGTAACATTCCTGTCTATGGCACGTGAGACGCTACTTGTCAAAGACAGGAACAACTGTCACCTGCGTGCAAAAAGCGAGTGAGTTTTAGAAAGAAAAAGATACGTTGAGAGTTTCATACTCGACTAATCCAATGTTTTATACCATCAAGTCAACTATAGCAAGGGTGACCGACCTAATTTCGAAAGATAAATGAAATCTACATCGTGTAACCTGCAGCAGGTCCTTTTTGGTATGGTATGCTCAATTTAATTAACGTGTAACGTAGATAAACATGGAAATAGAAAATAACGACTACGTTGCATTGATTTAATTGCAAGAAAAACTATAAAAAATAATATATTGATTAAAAACTAAATGAAATCTAACTAAACCTTTAGAGTTCTAATTTTACTAATTTTTGATTTTTTTACAGGAAAATGAGCATCCAAATAAAACATTTGTCCCAAAAATTACCAAGTCAAAAAATTGATTAAAATCACCAAACAACCTCACAAGTAAATAATTATGTACTGACAATATAACAGATTTATTTATATCGGGTGTTCTCAAAGTTGAGTCATTTATTTTAACAGCTGGTAGAACTCGCAAAAAAGTCGATTTACCAAAAATCGTTTATATAAAAGTTGCCAAATAAAGCAAGATGAAATTTCAAAACTTTATAATAGAAACCCGATTTATTGTCAGTTTCGACCACTGCGTTGTAAAAACATAAATGGTAAACAAATGATAACAATTTTGAACAATTTTTGTACAACAGGATTTTTATAACTCTCTTCTCTTGCAGCTTTTATATAAACGATTTGGTAAACGACTAAAGTAATGAATAAAAAATAAATGACTCAACTTTGAGAACACCCTGTATAAAGCCGACATGACTTTGCCCTAAGGTCGTGATTTATTGAAAAAGGTTTAGAAACTTACAGGGAGCAATATGGAATGTAAAATTACAATTCTGACGGTAAATGTTTTGCATTTTCGGGTTTTTGATAGTAGAGAAAATGCCGCGTATATTTTTTTTAAGTGGGTAGTACCGCATTAATTAAAATTATTGTAGTAAATGATTAAGTAGGCTTAAATTACAATTATGTGTCTTAGGTGGAACAGAAATTCCGAACAATATTAAGGATCCGGTAATTGTCTTTCAACCAGAATGGGACACATTTCTAGGAGAATTAATGATAAATGACAATGTTGCTGAATGAATGCCATAGCGTTAGGCAGTAATTAGAACTCAGAGAGGCACAAACAGATATTAATTTAGATAGTTTTGGTCATTAAGTTTTTCTTCTGTTTATAGTTTTAACGGTGGATTTGTTTATTTGCTTCATGGTTCGATTTTTTCTATTAAAAATGTCATGATGAGAATTTTGACGTAACTTTGATCTTATTGCTTTAATAATTTTTAACTTTACTAAAATGTAATTGCCAACGTCATTTATGAAGGCTCGTAGTTACACGTGATTTTTAAAGAGAGGTTTCCAGTTTTTTTAATAAAATCGAAATGAATAGGAATTGAATTGTTTTTTAATAGTACATATGTTGATAAATATTTAATTCAGTATCACCAGAGACAATATAGCTTATCGCCACAGACTTGCAGGCATTTTAACTTTTTTAATGATTTTTTACTTTAAACATATTTTATATCGGCAAGTTTTGATGTAAAAAGAAATAAAGGAAAAGTCGTACATTTGTATTTGAAGTTTTTTTTCTATCTTTAATTATTATTAAACTTATAAGAGGATGTCAAAATACAAAAAGCCTGTACCTACATTCCGCGACGTACTAATAACCCACCTTGTATATTAAATAAATCTATCATCATCAAATATTAAAATATATATATTACAAGCTGTTTAAAATATCATTACAAATTTTGTTTATTTGGAAATATATTTTCAGCAGTATTTCAATACCAAAAAATGAAAATAGTAGCTCATTAATGAAATTATGATTAAATAACCTAACTGTAACACAGCTGCAGAATATCATATGAAACTACATAGATTGATTCTTTAAAAACATTTTTATCAATACCTACATCATACATTTAAGTAAATGCAGTAACGCAAAAAACAGATATTGATAAAAAAGTGGACAAAAGAAATCCGTAAGTACGCCTGGCAACATTACCAAAGTCTTGTTTATATGTTGCTAGCATACGCGTAGGTATGCGGGCCGCTGCATTTGATTTTTCCTAAAATTCTGCTGGTGGTGTACTCTGGCAATTCGAAAATTTTAAACTGTTGGCCTATTCCAGTAGCGGTCTGTGGCGATAGCTATTTTGTCTGTGGTATCACTTTGTCGATTTAAATTTTTCTGCGTATCTAATAACATCCAAGATCACTGTTATACAGCGATAAATTAAATAAATCTGTTTCAGTAAGTATTAAAATGAAAAGAAAATGGGAACATTACTAGCATAAACTAATTATTAGATAGACGTAGTAAAATTTGAAAAAAAAGTCCCTGACGTGTCCAAGACCTACGAAACATACAGACAGTTATATGTATATTATTAACTAATTTGATTTGTTTTCAGCTATATCGTATACATTTCAGAGAACGATTTCGAACTGTATCAGTCGAAAACGGAGGAACTAACATTTTTAACAAATTGGATCGGACTTAACTTCTCCGACATAAAAACAAAATCAATTATAGAGAAAACATCGACTTTTCTATAACTCACCATAAAACCCTTGTTTTACTTCCAAATGCTGAAGGGGATGTTTGCATTTGCATTTTATTGCGAGAAAAGCACGTATTCCAGAAATGGTCCCATTTTGATGTTAAATATTTTCCTTTCCTCAGCAAGTCCTGTTTAAACTCAATAATTCTTTGTTTTTCTAATCACTTCTAATACAATATTTTCGATAATAGTTGGATGTCAGATCATGTTTCATTTGTTAAAGATACACTTAGTTACAAAATATCGCAAATCATAGTGTCTATAAAAGTAGTTTTTGTACCGGAACAGTACGATATACTTGGGTATAATTTTAGTTTTATGTAGACTTGAGAGTTTCCTGTATCAAGATTTTCTAGATCCTTGCAAATTGAGAAACGAATATTACTAACCTAGCATTTTCAGCGTAATATAAAATAATGCTGCTCTCGCTAGTGTGTATTATACTGGAATACACAAACATCATCATTTATATAATACCCATCTACCCTGTATCTAAACTGATTGCCAATCAGCTTTTTATTTTGCTTACAGAAGTAATTGTTTGTAAATATGTTGTTCCGTTAACATGAAAATTTTGATAATTCGTCGTATTTTAGGTCAACAAAAGTTTTAGTTTACATTACAAACTACGTAAATACCTAATTCCTCAAATACACATACAATAGCATACAATTTATTGATATACAGTATTTTTAGTATGAGAAAATGAGAAAACAGCTAAAAGAGTATTTACTGCTCGAGATACAGGGTATTTTGAAAGGATGGCCAAAATTTGATATAAAAATATTCTACTCCACGCCCTGTGTCTCGAAAACAAAAGACGTCGGGTTCCTGGTCAATAGTAAAAATCGTCTTATTCCTGTATAAATTAGACATGGGAACCATGCAACAGTAAAACATTAAATATATAAAATAAATAGGTAACCGAAATAATGAAGATTTCTCTTTTTTTTCTAGTTCCTGCGGGTCACGTAATCGTAACGAATGCCAAAAATGTGTCGTCGAGCTCCGTTTACTTCAGTTGGCTTGCTCCACCGCCGGATACGATATTTGGAGAATTTTTAGGCTACCGCATTTCTTACAAACCGAGAACAAATCCTGAGGATAACAAGGAAATTTACTTACGAGATCCTACGGTCACAGTGAGTATCAACATATTATTTTTAGTGTTGGGATTTGCCTTAACATATTCAATTATCAATTACAAATGTACCTACTGATCTTTCGATTTAACACATATTCGATTTTTTCCCTGTTTCTAGAAGGACTAAACATAAGAAATTTGAAGATGCCGATATCTCCAGACATATCTGATCTGTTCATAATTGCTTCCAATGAACCTTGGTCGGCGGGAGCGGAACCAATTTGTGCAGGAATATTAATTATGTTCCTGTTAAGTAAATTAAAAGGAAAATATGCATCTATTAGCTACGACGATAACTGGGAAATTCACATGAATAGTATCTCAGCAACAATCTCTTCCGGTTAATTTTATTGATTAATCTGATTTTGGTTTTCGTTTCTCCCTTTAGAAACATTTCTTGGTTGTTTTAATAAATCGTTTCCATATTCACGTTTTGCCTAAACCGGTGTGAAATATATCTCCCAATTTCAGCGCAAATAGAATTTGCATTAATTTCAGCTTGTAACAAAAATGAGTCTCATTCCGTACAGGGTATCACTAAATAACCACTTAAAGCATTCAGTGCCCAAAAATAATTCAAAACTCCTGAAGTCTATTACTTTTATCAATAATTTTGAGGTTATTTATCCTCCAGTTAAGGCTTATGCGTTTTTTCGAAATTACTGTATATTAAAATTAAAGGGCAATCCGTGAGAAATCCGATACCAATTTCGGCACCTACGCCCTAGGACTCGAAGAACTTTTTAGAATTTTCAAGGGACAAACAAAAATTTGTATTTTCGTAGGTAGATGAGCAAAAATTAAAATATCTAATTAATCCACTCGAAAATCGACGAAGACAGAAAATCGGATTAAAAAAACTCGACAATAATCTCGATTTTAATGCGATGAATTCGAAAGTAACTAGTTTACCCGTATCTCGTTTACTTTTCGAGATGCGGACAAAAACACGCGAAGAAATTTCGAAACCTAAATTCTACACGAAGTGTTTTCGAAATCGACTCCTCAAATTGGTGTAGGAGAAAAAATACGAAAATAATTTGGATTTGTTCGTACCTTGTTCACTTTTTTCGCAATGTTTAGAAGGACACCAAGGAAAAGTAGTGAAAACCAGAAAGTCATCAGATCAAATCCAATATATTTTTAGTCCCAAATTATGTAGAAGGATACACAATTACATTGCACTGAAATAATTAGTTTGGTAAAGGTCATTCCAAAAGTGGTGATACAAACAAAGTTTAATTAAATGCAATTGTACATCTTTGTTAAATCATACACCCATTAGTTATAATAATTTTCCTAAGGTGAATTATCAATAGCTCCTTGAGGGCCACTTAAGCACGCCATAATCATATACGTGTTGGTCGGGATTTCGGGTCGATGCCTGGGGAACAATTACACTAAAATATGTAACGTTGTTACAAAGTTGCACTACATCGCTCTAAAAACATTAACACTAATTTAGATAAAACTCGGGCACCGCCACAAAAAAATATATCCTTTACGTATATCTACATGACGTCTCGTAACACGAATATACTGAGTGAAAAAAATTTGAACGATAATCGCTTGCGAATGTGTAAGAGATCAGAAGCAACTAAAATAGAAAACAAAGACAAACGTAGAATATATTTACCCAGAATTAACCCCATCTTATCTGTTTCAACCGCGGTCATATCAGAACTGAACTTCCGCTAAACAAACGCAACAGAACACGAAATGGGGGTGAAATAGGACAATGGTATTCACCATTCGAGTCGTTATTTTTTTTATGGACACCACAGATTCTTGATTCAAGCACGCAATATTGGAGTGGAATAAAAAACAATATCTGGGTTGTTATAATAGTGTCGGTAATTAGGTACCTACTATTTTTATTTGATTCGGATGAATCAAATAAAAAGAGAGACTGAAAATGCCACAAACCACATTTAATTAAAAATACTATAAAACGTAAGCAGTTGTTATTTTGTAAGGACTACTGTCACTAATCCGTTTGTGAGTAATTTTTCGTTGTTATCGGTGGCAGACTTATTTTACGAACTTGCGAGACTTTCTTGTCTCACTATATTTAACTTTCCACGCAATAGTTTCTTACAACTGGCACAATAGAGTTCTGAGCCATTAAATCGCAACTCCGGAAAATCGCGAATCCACGAGTTTACTACATTCCGAAGGATCCGTTCCAATTTAATCTACCGTCTATTTCATACGTATCATACAATGTCGCGTAGCGGAATCGAAGAGAAATAAGTTTTTATCCCTCACCAACACAGTAAATGTTAACTTTAAGCAAAGAAAATTAATTACCTATTTACTCCCGCTTATGTATAGCTTACCTACTCGTTGTTTTGGAAGCGAAACGATATTCGAGCCGAGCGATTTACAAAAAACACATTTTACTATTTAGATAAACTCATAAATGTTATTCAACGTTTTCCTATATCTTTACCTCTTTGTTTTCTAACCACGTACCTGCTTTGACTTTTTTACTCATGCGATTGTATCCAGGTAGGTACGGCGTTTCCCCTCTCATTCCGATATTTGAAAGGGTTTATCTAGTTCTTGTTTATTAAACACGGAATGAGGCAAAAAGGTCCTATTTACTTACAAGATTAAGTTAACGCATCTTATACAAATTCTTTATTAAGTATGTACCTTACATACTTAACGGATTCTATTCAATTCCACACAAGGGGTAAATTTGGAATATTATAGGCTTGTCAGTTTACACGTTCGGGGCTACAACTTTGACATACGTTACATACAGGGAACGAATCTTTGACTTTTACCACTGAAGTTAAAAATTTATTGCCCAAAAGTTTTCTATTCCTTTCGGCTATCTATTTGGGCACAAGGCATTTTTATAATAAATAACACCTGATTTTTACGAACCTCAGGACCTCAAAGTTTGTCGGCTTAAACTTACTACTTAAGATATTAAACTTAATTATTTTTAAGTAAACTTTCCGGATTTCCGATTATCTGAAAATTGTTTGTTTGTTTGGAATGAAAAAATATAATTTGACCTTCAACTATTTTTGCTAATGTTTCGAATAGACAAAAATAATCTTCAATTTTAAGCTGAATATATGAAATATATCATGATGTCGGCACATATGTACGTTTAAACTTAAATAAATCTGCATTTATACTGGCAATAAGTTTAAATAACTTAACTTTCAGTGGACAAAAAAGAGTAATACGCTGCTCGTACTCGTATAAGAGAAATTTAGCTTAAATCGAGTTACTTTACTGTTTGTTTAGAAGGAGAACTGCTTTAACCCAAAGCAAGTTTAAGCTCAATGGGCAGTAAACCTTACCGCAGCATGAATACAATTTATCTCTCTAAATATACTTAGCAAACTTGGGAGAGGTATGGCAAATTGGTGACGACAAACAGAAATGTACCGAAACAGTTCCAGAGATTTTATAAAATACCTAAATTATATGTATATCCAAGGTAACAGATCAGTTTAAGTTTGAATATAGGAAGTGTTTCAGAAAGGAAAACAAACTGGCAGAACACCCAATACAATACTTCAAGTGGGATGTTATCCAACTAAACTGCATCGCGAATTTCTTTCCGATTTCGTTTTGACAGCATTTAAGTCCCAAGGAATATAAAATGTGCGTTGTGACGACATTAAATGAAAATATCAAATCCTACGCCAAAAGTAGGATTGATTAAATAAATTAATGTCTATAGTCGCAAAATAAAAATGATACAAAATTATTATTGAAATTCCAAATATTAATAACGACTAATTCGTTAATTATGTTTCTAGTCTTAAATTTTCAAACAATACCGTTTCCTTATAGGTACGTATAAGCAGGTTTCACAAACGAAAAACGTCTACTTTGTGAAAAATTGTCCAATCTAGCGACCTCTAGAGGAAAACGCGAAATCATTGAATCAATAACGTAGAATCCTAACTAAAAAATCGGTGCAGAAATCGCTAACAATTGTGCAAACAGACATTTGCTAATGTTTCGCTTAGTGTCGTCATACGCATAATATAAAATAAGAAGAAAATTACCGATTCAAATTATCAAATTTCTTAATAAAAAATATAAAATAAATAGATTTAAGATATTAACATTTTTTTCATTTTCGTTACAGTTGAAAGAAATTAACTTCGCATTTAAAAAATGACGGTGCTAAGTTCAGTTTTAAGTATTGGTTTATCCAGTGAAATTTAAGAAGTGATATATGGTAATTTATCATTGAACTAAGAAAGTAAAAGCAATTCTAAGCCTACTTAATCAAAATGTGTCATATAATGTAAGATTCACGTCTGTAACGGCAACCAAAATGATATATTGACTTTTTCGAAGGTCCAACTTTGTGTATATGTGAAGTTTGCGAGTAATAATTCAGAATACAGAATTAGGGCATGTGTGGCTCTATTTTATATACGTATCTTAAAAGTTCGGAAGGGTACATTTGAAAGTTCTCTTTCGAAGAATGCTTCTGCTTCTGTTTTATATCGATATATAGCATTTACTTACAATTTAAATTAACCGTAATACTTATTTAAAATAATTTTACAAATTTATTCACGTACGTATGTATCTATGAAATAGGTGCATAACTTATGCTGTTGCAAGGGTGTTATGGAAATAAAACGACTGCATTGCTAGTAATATGTACTATGTATTGTTCCAGAACCACATTCTAACACAATTAGAGCCATGGACTCAATACTACGTCACTGTCCAGGTATTTAACCCCGAGGGACTTGGGCCCAACACTACAGTACTAATAATGACAGATGAAGGCGGTGAGTAAATTTAATATTCAATGTCGGCTTGAATTCAAAGTTTAAAGCACACGGCTTTCAAGTAGAGAAACTGTATTCACCGCTCAGTCGCAATTAAAACGCCCGACGTCCACAGGCGGAGATCTTTTTATTTTTTATTAATTGGTTTTTGGTACACATCAGCATATTAACGATTATGCATTACTTAAACGTATTAAATTCCATGTAATTAAACAAACAATAATAGTTTAATCTCTTTGAAAAAAAAAGGAAAGGCAAATCTGACATGGATGGTTTCCTCCTATTTCCTTCAGTTATTGGAGAGATGGCAGCGACACAATCACTAAATATCTATACAAAATAATACCTTAAAAATCTGTACATAAATCGTTACCTTCTCCAGTGTGCCACAGCAAAATATTTAATGATTTTCCTTAGTGGCGTCTTACAGCGAAAATAAATCTTCAAATTAAAATAAGAAAAAATTTGTTAAATATCAAATTGTCAAATATTTAAAAAATATAAGGAATTTCTGAGAAATAAGCATTTCCATTAACGTTAGAATTAGAAATATCTCGAAAACAATGCTACACGGAGTTCAAAGTTTAAGTAATAAATAATCCCCAATTATTCTTTGTCACTTCCAGTTCTAATTAAATATTTCAGTTGATTTAGTTTTATCGCTGGCTTATTGTAGTTCTCGGCAGAATCTTTAACATACTGAACTTGAAAGGTTTCAAGGGGCCACCGTTGTTTGCAGAAAGTTGTGGATAGGGTTAGCCAAAATGTCTTAACAATGATGCTGTTAGTACAATGAGGAACATAGGCATCGGCGTTGTGGAATTATGGGTTCGGGTTGTTACAGTACGACCAACCGTACAGGGTGATTTATCGAGAAACGTTGAAATATAATTAAAAGGTATATAAGTTTCCTGACAAAATATCGAGTTAAATGTACTAAACTCGCAGCGTAACGCCACTGATTTCAACCCGAACAACAAAATGTACGTGTGCTCAGACAATCTCGGCCAGTTCTCAACCTTTCCCATTTCATGGTAAACTTTCATATGACGTGAAAGTTTTCGTCTTAGAAATACACACTGCATCATAAGTATACGAGGAATATTACAAAAGACACGAAGCTATTTATATTTTTTTACTATACCTACATTTAAAATTATACACCAGGAAAATTAGCGAAAATAAAAGAGAAACTCGAAAAAAGTCCTATCCGCTAGATTATTGTAAAATTGTTTAAAGGAACATAATACAAGACAGCTTATAGGGAGTAAAATTATCTACAAAATGAGACTGGTTAAATTAAAATCGGTTAATAAACAAAAAAGTTATTGCAAAAAAACAAGAAAAGTGCCCATTTTTTCATTTGTTTATAACTATCGCATTTACTGTTAAAATTTTATAAAACCTATGACAAGTTGAGGGTTTTGTCGTACTTTAAAAGTGTGCCAAAAGTGGGCGCTGTAGGTGCAATAGTTTTCGCACAATTCTATTTGTTTATAGCGGAGGCTCCAAAAGTTATGAACTTTAAGCCTCTGTGCAGACGTTAATTTTCAATCAAACATGATTCTGAAAGCGTCATTGTAATCTTAAAGACGCAATTAAGCGACCTATTAAAAAATATCACCGTTTTTTTGACATTAACATTCTCAAATTGTGCATTAAAAAACCATGCGTTTTTCGCTTATAAACAATTTGAATAACATTGTTGCTATTTATGCTATCTCACCGAAAATAGATGCAATAGATAGCTGGCAAAAAAATACAGTTTTAAAATAAAAAAAGTACCCTCTACGACCAACAGGAGCCAAGATAAGAATTTTTTTTAAAAAAATCGTAGCGCAATTGTTTATAAATATTAAGACTTGAATTTTTCGCAAAATAAAGTTTACGTTTATGGGCACTTTTCTTGTGTTTTTGCAATAACTTTTTTGTTTATTAACCGATTTTAATTTAACCAGTCTCATTTTGCAGATAATTTTACTCCCTATAAGCTGTCTGTGAGTCACTTTTCGCTAAAATTGATGGTTTTCCCTGCAAAGTGAAAAAACTGTTTTCCTAACTTATTTGTTTAAATAGAAAAGTTAGCTAATAAAAGTTTTTGACTCACGAGACGAGAGATGTCTTGTATTATGTTCCTTTAGACAATTTTACAATAATTTAGCGGATAGGACTTTTTTCGAGTAAAAATTTAACTTGCTTGGTCTATTATACAAATTTCACAACCCTTAATAATAATTAGGTAGGTACTTCACGATTATTAAAAAAGATGTAACATTTCGAAATACATCCATTTCACGTGAAGTTAATATTTCAATGCCCTGACAAAGATAAATCTAACATGCACTGGCTTAACTTATTTTACATCCATTTAGGATAATCCACTTTCTTCTCTCGATTGACTTGGCAATTTAAAAAGAATTACTTCTGAAACAATACCTATTTCTACAATAATTGGATTTTTAAACTCTACGTAGTGGATATAAAATCTATAAAAATCAAATTTACTGCTTAAATACTTAGAAAATGATTTATTATTGATTGAATATGAGACAACCAAAGTGTGACAAAATACGAATTATGATTTTATTGATCAAATTAAGGATTTCAAGTATTTATTGATTTATTTTCTTTCGCTCCAAATCTAGATAACATGAATTCTACCACCTTAAACCGGCCCTGTGCGATGATCAGAAATATCCCGAGAGGAAAAATCGTTCGGTATGAAATCTAGAGATATGATTGGCCACGAAATGGTCCCTTGCCCATTATTTTCCAATTAGATAATGTATCTAGATACTCCTGAGGTTAACTCCATGGATGGAAGCATCAAACCGAGGCAGAGTAGATTTCTGTTAAGTTGCATTCCGCGGAATTGCAACCATTTGAATCGCCATCAATATAAAAATTCGTAATTCATGTTGCACAAATAAAAGTAATACTTCAAGTATGAGCTATTTATATTTTTATTTTCCTTCGCTATAGTAAAAAAAAAACAATCAGCTCCCTCAAAATGCCGAGTGTTGTTCCCTTACAACACCTTACCTTCCTTCAAACAAATTTAAATTGGTATCAAAAAGACCCTAGTGACTCTTTTTCAGATATTTCTAGATTGAAAATAAGATTTGATCAAATCGTATGACATTATGTGATATTTTCCTTGCGAAATTGAATTCTGTACATATACTTATAATTGGTTAATTGAAACATTGAGAATTATTTTAAATAATACAAAATTAAGCCGATGAAAATATCTCTGATATTCCTGTCTCTGCCGACTTATTGGACCACCTCTGCTACGTCTTCGCAATAAAATTTATGACTAGCTTTTAAAACCCACGAAGAGCACCACTGACTAAGCCAACCAGCTTGTTAATAGTTATTTAATTCTTACCGATTTGACTAAATGTAGAAGTACTACATAACAATCCATATAACGATTAGGTATTAATTAAAAATAAAGTTCAAATACTACAGCTGTTCGCAATAATTACCATATTCGTTGTTTGTGAAAACACATTGTACATAAATTTATGTAGGTACTTTACGGCATAAGTAACAACAATTCTCTTTTCGGTATGGCTTTGTGTAATCATAAACCGTATGTTCAAACATCACGTGTTGTTGGACCTCTACTGGGCCAGGGAAAGTTATTGCTTTTTTATCAGGTTTCCTCTGTATTTCCCGTTCATTTTTCCTTTTACCCCATCTACCAACTGCTTAATATACTCGTATATATACATATGTATATAGGTATACATAAAATATCGAAGTTCGATCCCAGGAATGTACTCGTAAGGAAAACATAGGCAACCAACTCTACGAGTAGGCATCTAAATTTTACATAGCCAAGTAATTCATATTAAACAAGTAATAAATTGTATATATCTACATATAATAAACTTGCTTTAAAAATATATAGATAAATAGATTATAAAAAAATATTGATGTTTGTGTAGCAAGTGAAAAGAGAAATATGGAAAGACAGTCCTAGCTTATGCTTAAGCGTGGGACACGTTCTCATTGTCTCTTACATGAAGACATTTTTGATGCGTTAAAATGGCAATAATAATGTAATCCCATTTCTGGATAAACCGAATATCTGTCTGCTTTGAGCAGATAATATTGATTGAAATAATAAAGCATGTTCGTTTTATCAGCATTACTCGGAATATTAATCTTTAAACCTTCATTAACAGCATTAAATGCTATATACCTACCTGATCATGAAATTATTGATAAAATTATAATGTAACGCAAATAGGGGATTTATTCTGTTCTCTCACAAGTGCATTATTGATAAATACAAATTGGAATAATATAAATGAATATTTAATAACTAGATAAGCATACAATACAGTAGAGAACGTTATAATTTATGTTACTTTTCATTTTTCTTTATTTGGAATCCTTGAAATAAGATTTTTAAAAACGCTCATTCTCTTTTAACTTTGTGATTGTGAAATTGATATAATTTTTCTTTGTCAATTAAAACCTTCTTAAAATAAGATTGTATTTTGGAAAGGAAATGATTTATGATGATCTAAAAAATTGCAAACTGCGATTAGGTACTCAAAAAATATATGTGTAATTGTTTATAACCGGACGAAATGAAAAACGAAATATTTTAGTACCATTATACATGATTTATGATTTACTAACCTTCATAAAGAAAAAATATATGAAGTGGATGTTTATTTAAAAATATAAAAACATGTACATTCATTTTTAATGCTTCAAACTTTTAAGATGAATATAAAATTTGGAGTTTATCCCTTTTCTGACTTTATATTACGAAGTAATATGTTATATTGCTAAGGGGAATTTAAATATATAACTTCAGTCGTCAGGTTATAAAATGTTTACGACAAACGGATATACACGTGTGCATTTTTCAGAAAAATAAAATGAATTCATACGGGAATTTAATGTAGTACCTAACGATTAGACTTATTAAAAAAAAAATTGTAGAAACCTACGTGTAGGTAATAATACTTTGATCATTATACGTATGAAGTTGATTACAATTTCGAGTCCATTGTGGAAAGAAAAAATGATTAATGTCAGCCACCCTATGTCTTTGTTGGAAAAGCCAAATCGATTATTCCCTTTATGTGGGACTACCTATGCCATCTAGCTGTTTCTTACTCAAACTCTCACGTTGCATTATCTAGAAAACTACGTACAGAAGAACAGAAGACTGTTTCATTGGGATTCCCTGATTTCTTCAAGTCTTTCAAAAATCCATATAGTTATTATTTTAAATATTGAAAAATATATTTTCACTAATATGTTACGTCAAAAAAAAGCGAATAATATTTCTAATTCAATTTTACATTAATGAATATTAATGAATAAAATAAGCTCGAATTGGTAATTCTGTAGTCGATCTTCTGCCAACATCAACCAATGAATATGTTCGAATAGTCGGTAAGTTAACCACGGCGATCAGCGTAACTTATTCTGGTTGAGCCATTATCAGTACTTTCGACAATGCTCGTTAATGGTTGGTCCTTGTAACATTTAGCAAACACTGAAATAAAAACATTACCTATATTGGTTATGTTATGTTTAAAGAACGATGGTTTTTCGAATTGTCATGACGTAATCTTAAAGCTGTTAAAGCTTTTTTATTTTTAATTAAATTAAAACATTGTTTCCTTTTAATGATCTATTCATTAGAGTATTTATATGAAAAATACTTTAAAGCCATGATACAAAGAGAAAATTAAAAGGAAAGGTCATACATTTGTTAAACGTTCCCAATTATCTTCCAAAATTTAATATCTGTCGGTTGTCAACAGAGCCGGCTGTAGGGAGTGGTTGAAATTATTTCAATATTTTAACAGATATTCTGTCATCAATCGCAACTCGAGATCTAGACTAATTGAGTTTGTTTGGATTTTAACAGTGGTTCTCATCACAAAACAACTTAGTTTGGATCAGACAATATACAAAATTGCAAGTACTATTAATGATTTTTTTAATTGTGTTGTGATTTTCATGATACAGTAAAAAAAATCATATTAAAACCAAAAAATTTACTCACAAAACAACTAAATAAACAACATTAATGAAGTTTAATTTAATGTACGAAGAAGGTAAACTAGACTGCTTCAGTTAATTAGATGTCTATTTTCCAAGGACTGCTAGCCCAACTAAAGTATTTTGTTGTTGATTAGAGGTAGAGAACAATAGTACTTTCAAGTAGCAGGTGGCGTACGAAGTACGAACAAATGGGTTAATCCAGCTTGCACATAACGAAGAGCAAGAGTGACAGACACAGGGGGCAGTGCTCACTGCTCAGGAAGGAGTACACTTACAGTGTCTGAATACTGAAGCAAAATGAAACAGATGCAGATTGCAGACAAGCGAACGTAATATTGGCTGAAGCAACCGGTGCAGCTTGGCAATATACCAACTGAAAGAAAAGTGTCACATTTTATCTATGCTCATACCTCTATTGGACGATTCTACATATACATATTATAATTATTACGCAAAAGTGTTCATCGTTTTTGAAATAGGGAAATAATATGTTTATTTGTATTGTATGTACAATAAACTGCGCAAGTTCCAAAATCTTCAACTGTTTTACAATTATAATTTGTATAAGTGTAAGTAATCAAATTAATTAACAAAATTGAATAAAGCAGTACCTACTTTATCTATATTGCGTTAATTTCACAGCCTGTCGAGTTGTTAGCTAATATATAGTGGAATTTTTATGTGTGAACCTAGTCCCTGAATAAATTCGCGTCGTTTATTACGTTTTAAAAAAATATACGTATTGGAAGGTACTGGATAACTGAAATAGCATAAAAATTGAATATCGGGTGTTTGGCGAAAATTCGCCTCACCCATTAGAGAAACAAAATGTTTAATTTTCGTATATCCCTATTATGTACAGAGTGATTCAGTATATTTTGACCACCCCCCGAAAATGATAGTAGAGAAACAAATGAAGTCCAAACAAAATGTCTGCGGATGTTAACTTTGTTAATTTAAATGGAACACCCTGTATGTTTTTACATATTTGGATAGAACATTCCCTGTCGAGCATAGGCATATAGGGTTTGTTGGGTCCATCTCTAACAGTAAGCGAGATAATATTAAAAAACGTAAAAAAGGTATTTTATTAAGAAAATAAGACAACTTGTCTTTCAGGCATTTCTGCCTTTTTCTAATTACGTATGATTTACAGATTTAGTTGTAATATATTTAGACATATCATTAAATAGTAATACAAACTGTCAAGCAATAACAATATTATCATGTCATTCCTACTTGTCACTGTCACGGCCTACCATATAACATTGTCCATGAGTAAATAGGCCTATCACGGCCTAATTAGTGCGATTTAGTTAAAATACTATACACATTTTGGATTATATCAATGTCCGATATATCAAAATATATTGCAACTAAATCCAAATCCTTACGTAATTGGAAAAAAGGTAGAAATGCCTGAAAGAGGTTTAACAATTACAAGATATTTTATTTTCTTAATAACAAACCTTCGTTTTTTAATATTATCTCGCTTATTGTTCGAGATGGGCCCAACAAACCCTATATGACTATGCTCGACAGGGAACTTTCTATCCAAATATATAAAAATGTACAGGGTGTTCCATTTAAATTAATAAAGATAGCATCCGCGGCCATTTTATTTGGGTTTCATTTGTTTTTCTATTATCATTTTCAAAAATTTTTGTATTCCACATTTTTTATAACTCTTAAAACAAAAAAGTTAATGGGGGGGTCAAAATATATTGAATCACCCTGTACTTAACAGAGGGAATGGTGTCTAGAGACAGTAAAACATTTTGCTTCAGGGCTCCAAATATGCGCATTTCCGATTTTTAATTTAACAAAAAAATGAGTTAGATTAGGATATCCTAAATGTAAAATATACGAAAACGATCTTAATCGTAAAAACAATTCCATTAAATTTAGCTATGGCTAGTCACATAACAAACGCACATGCCACTAGATGGAACACATATATGTTCTCATTCTATTTATCTCAAGAGTTTATGTTTATTGATTATAGTTCGTTCGGAGAGATGGCGCATATTTCAATTTTCAAATGAAATAAAATTTTACTGACTACCTGGATGTGGTACAGATGAAAATCTGAAAATTAATGTGTGTCACGATATTCGCGTATACGTAGATACATAACTATTGTAAGCATAAGCATACACAAATCATCCCGTCAAATAAATGAGATATTCCACAATGACAATTTTTCAAGGACTTTTTGTACTTCTTTTTGAGAAAATCTGCCTTGTTGAAAATAATTAATTAGTTATAATATTATAATTTATATGTAATACTTCACTGAATCAAAAAAATATTTTTTTCAAATATCTGCAGCATTTATAGGAAAAGAATTTGTTGTAGTGTGTTAGTTCAAAAAAATATATAAGTATGTATCGGTATAAAAGTATTAGCCAAATCTATCAAGTAAAATTCAAGAAATATGCATTAATATGCATGCTTTTGATAAATTGTCAGTTAAAAAGCAATTGAATTTTGTAATACGCCTTAATGCATTTAAATTGTACTTTTATCGGTTAATTGTCCAACCAGCGCATAAGTTTCGAATTTGGATTTGTAATTCAAGGAACATGCGCCAGCGCCACCTCACTGGCTGTAGTCGTCAGTAGGCCCCGGTCTGACGGCTGCTCTCCGTCTTTCCCCGCGTGCTTCTGTCATAGTTACCGCTGGGTGGTGTTTCAGATAAACATATCATTTATTTCCGTGTGTAGTTCGAGTTATTAACTCAATTATGTGGTTTATATAGAATATTAATCAACGGTAGAATTCATTTACGTATACTCCCTCACATTAAATATATAAAAATGACTAAAACGAGCAACCATAACGATCCGCTACTTCATTAATTGATTGTTTTATTGTGCTAGGATGGGCCATGCTTTTGTTTATATATTAGTCGCTTTTTGCGGATTAATATCGACTCAGGAATCGTCTACAGATATCTATACCACTACGGACATAAATGAATTTAGTGATAATAAAGATCCTGAGGGCATTGACACACCTACTTATGATTTTGCAGTTCCAGCCAAACCAAGAAATTTGACAATTTTGGACTACACCTCAGTTAGCATCTATTTGCAGTGGGCAAATCCGGAGAAAAAAAATGGTGTTATTGAAGGTTACAGAGTTTATTATATGAACAATAACTTCACTGAAGTTCAACCTGATAAAATACCATTTGATGAACCCGTAGTACGCTACAATTTGACTAAACTAAGTAAGTGTTTTTTAATTTACTAAACTCATTACATCTGACTCCCCTCGTATGCAAACCGTATTGTATGATATCAGCACATAACTCCCTGTTAATTAAAAATGTCAATTTTTCAATTGAACATTTATTGCTAATGATATAGTTTTATTAAGTTTTTACGTTTTACTATGAATCAACTCTACTTTGTTACATTTTTGTTGAATAATTGAGAAAAATAATAGTGAACACTTTTTTTGTCATTAATTAAAATAAAGAAATGATATTCGAACTGACTTATGTAAATATTAAACACTCAAACAACTGTGGTCAACAGCATTTGCCAATATAGGATCAATTATTCCATACAGTATTTGTGTTATTTACTTAATAATTGCCTAATATAATCGATATATAAAATCTAGTATTTTCAATAGAATTAAATATTGCTATTACTAAAATGATTAAACAACCTATTAAGTATGTTTGTATGTTGTGGTTTCCATACATCATGACTAATCGATTGTTTATGACTTATGCTAATTTTCATACTGACAATAATCTAGTGGCGGCTTGCATAAAGCAAGGAACATACAGAAAATTTTAAAAAATGTATGCTATAAGTCATTTGTGACCTACATGTAAAAGTATAAAAAAATAGTTTTTTATTTTAAATTAATAAGGAAACAAGATATAAATAGGATAGGAAAACAGGATAAAGTATATTGGATAATGCTGGCAGTATAACAGATCTGTTTCAAATTAGATACTATTAAAAAATTACATGAAATAAATTTCAGAAACCTGCCTTTTTCATAATAATTATAGTTTGTTCCACCAAATATTAACATTTGAGTTTCAACAAAATGAAGGATTAATTTGTGTTTATTTATTTTATTTTCTTCTAGAGCCTTCAACTGAATACACAATATTTGTAAAAGCATTTACTCAGAAACATGAAGGCTATTCCTCAGATCCTGTAGTTGCGACAACTGATATTAGTGGGCCAAGTGCCCCGAAAGTCTTAAATTTATCGTGTCAGGCTAATGAAACTATATATATACAGTGGCAGCGACCTACAAGTTTCTTTTATTCTATTGACTATTACTATATATACATTAACTTAGGCAATCATTTATATGATAACATCACTATATCTACCACAAAGGATCACCTAGAAACAACAGTAAGTAAATGTTTGAAGCCATAGTTGTTCCATTGTTGAATTTTGTTGTTTTTTTTTTATAGTATATTGTAAAAAACATTACGCCAAATGCCAATTATCATGTACAAATCCAAGCTTCGACAAGAAGTAATCGTACTCATCGGCTGATTATGGGAGAACTCTCTCAACCAATGCGCGTATATATCTCCAAAAATTGTGAAGATCCCCATGATTACAACTCCCACACAACCAGTGAACTTGGTGCTGGAATTTTAGCTGGTGTCCTTTGTGCAAGCTTAGCACTACTGATGGCTGGAATAGGATTCTTAATTTGGAGGTATAATTTCCTGAATTATATTCCTACAATATCAAGAAGGGCAACCTCTCACATAATTAATTATCTAAATCATAAAATTGAATTTGAAGTATACATTCAAATATAAAAATATAAAAACCAATTCCGCCACCCTCTGCAGTTCATATATAAGAATAATTTGAAATAGGTAACTTTAAACCTAGACAATTGATCATTAAGTTAATTAAAGTCAATCAGCTGACCATGAAATTTCTGTTTTATTTATTTATTCTGATATTTAAAGCTTTAGTAATTAATTGATGATGCGAATCATGTACCAGGTAATAAAATTAAGGTAATACATTAGAATCAATTAATATTTATTGTTTATATTATCACCCAAGGAATATTTATAACAAGTATAAATTTAGTAAAGTGAAGGTCACATATATATTGTTCATCACCGGATTTTATTTAAGGAAACCAAATTTGTTAAGCAATAATTATTTTTAGGAAATGTTTTCGTGCTCCATATTATTATCTAGACAATCCTCAATGTTCAGCAGCAGCTTTAGATTGGAATGCCATTCCTGAACCAGATGCGGATCACAACGGGCCAATTCCCGTTGCGCTTTTTGCCAGACACGTTCAAGAATTACATGCGGATGGAGATATAGGTTTTAGCAAAGAGTATGAAGCTATACAAAACGATGCTGTTAATGAAATCAACAGCTCGGAACATTCACAACATCCTGATAACAAACCTAAGAATAGATATCTCAACATAATTGCATGTAAGTCACATTATCGAGTTATTAAAAATAAAACATATATTGTGGAAAAGCTACTTTATTACTTGAACACATTTTCAGACGATCACTCTCGCGTCCACTTACTCACAATGCCTGGTCAAAAAGTCTCGACTTATATTAATGCAAATTATATTGATGGATTTCAAGTGAACAAAGCTTATATTGGTACTCAGGGTCCTTTACCTTCTACTTTTGACTGTTTTTGGAGGATGGTGTGGGAACAGAGGGTTACCATAATTGTGATGATTACTAATTTAGTAGAAAGAGGAAGAGTAAGTGAATTTTTTACTTTAATAATAATGATAGTTCTGTTAAGAAGAAAAGATATATTGTTTACAGAGAAAATGTGATATGTACTGGCCAAAGGAAGGTACAGAAACTTATGGTGTTATTCAAGTAAAACTAGTCAAAGAGGATATTATGGCTACATACACTGTGAGAACTTTATCAATTCGCCATCTTAGAGTAAATGTAAGTTATATTTTCTGAATTCTGTTAAAAATTTTCTTGTATATCTGCACAACTTTTTAGATTAAAAACAAGAAAAAGGCTGCATTAGCTGAAAAAACAGTGTACCAGTACCATTATACCAATTGGCCAGACCATGGTACACCAGATCATCCATTACCAGTTATACATTTCGTTAAAAAATCGTCATCTGCCAATCCTCCAGATGGTGGGCCCATTGTTGTTCATTGCAGGTAAATGTATTTCAAAAAAATATATATATATATATATATGTATATATATATATATAAATATTATTTTGTTTGTAGTGCTGGAGTAGGTAGAACTGGGACATACATAGTGTTAGATGCAATGATTAGACAAATTCGTTCTAGAGGTGAAGTAAATATATTTGGTTTCTTAAAGCATATTCGCGCCCAACGAAATTTCTTAGTGCAAACCGAGGAACAGTACATTTTTATACATGATTCATTAGTAGAAGCCATCGAATGTGGAGAAACAAATATATCTCGTGAGAAATTTCCTAGATATGTTTCTGTTTTACAAAATCTTAATCATGAAGATAAAAACGAGCTATGGAAACCGTTAGATGTTCAATTTAGAGTAAGTTGCTGCAAAAGTCGTTCTCATGGTACTAAGGAAAATGTTTTTTTTTGCAGTTAGTAACTAGTTTTGTATGTAAAGATTTTAACTTGGTTTCGGCAAACAAACCAGTAAATCAACCAAAGAATAGATGTGCCGTAATTCTACCCGTAGAAAGTTCAAGAGTTCATTTGACTCCGAAACCAGGTGAGGATGGATCTGACTATATTAACGCTAGTTGGCTCCAAGGATTCCATAGCCTTCGAGAATTTATTATAACCCAACATCCATTCAAACATACTATGCAAGATTTTTGGCAAATGATCTGGGACCACAGCGCACAACTCATAGTTATGATAAGTTTTATAGATAATTCAGAATATGAAGTTTTCTGGCCAGTAGGGAACGAGGTTATTGAAACGGACACTTACACATGCAAACAAACACATGAAAATGGCAACTCGACATATTACACACGGGAATTCTTGATGCGTTCTGTGCAAGATGATTATGAAATTCCAGTCAAAATGCTTCACTGCCATAACTGGCCACATCAAGTTTCGAATATTTCTGAAATGTACCACCTGCCTAACTTCGTTTTAGAGATGCAGAAAATTCAAAATGGGCCTACAGTTGTTATTGATCGGTAAGAATTGACGGTTACATTTTACAAAATATATATTGAGTTATTTGTCTTAATTTTGACTAGTTTGCGGTTCCTCTAAATATTAATAATTTTTGTTTTGCTTCAGGTTTGGAGGCACAGAGGCCGCAACATTTTGTGCTTTAACGACCTTAAAGAAGCACTTAATTTACGATAATAAAGTGGACGTGTACATGTACTCTAAGTTATATCACAATAAAAGACCAGGCATATGGATTTCGAGTGACGATTACATGAAATTACATCTCTGTGTCCAAAGCCTATGCAATCCGCCTGAACCACAAATCCAAGAAGTAACTCCTGATTTATATGCAATGGCCAATGGAACTATCAATAATGGATCAATATCCACCGACTGTATACGAGTACCTCCAGAAGGTATGGAAGCAGATACGTCTGCACTTTAAAATGCTTAAAGCGCACAGTGTGTGATTCCTTTGTCAAAAATATCTGCTATATGTCACAGGTGGCAGGTGCTTATAAATCCGCCAGATTTCAGTTTATACGCTCTTATAAGCCCTATATTTGAAGTACCAAAACATTTGCCTGCGGTTATGTTAAAAATGCAAGTCGAGTGAGAATATATGTATGTTTGAAACTTCAGGCAAATGTAAAATAACATTTGAGCACAGAACAGAACTTTTCCTTTTTTTCACCCCTTTACTTTTTCTGGTCACTTTACAAAAGAATATCGTTCATTAATCGTTAATGTAAGTCGATAAGCAGTGTGTAGATTTGTTTGTTAGTTTGTCAATATATAAGTGTAATATGATGCTGTTATATCAACCTAATATGCTGACATTGTTCTAGATATTTAATCATCTAAGCTGTAGCTTGCATACTGTACTCTGCAGTCTCCTCCACATTAATATTCATTTTTTTTTATAATTTTTTAAACACGTTTTTGTTTGATTGCAGAAGCTCCTCTTATTACCAAGGATTGTTTGAGCAATAAACAGACGTAAAACTATAAAATTACCAGTATTTCAAGTTACAAAATGGGTATATTAGGTGTAGGTGTTGAAAAATCCATTTGCATTGTGTTATTTATGAAACTGATGATTATTTGAGAAGGTTCATTCCTTCCGGTTAGATCTCGATATATTTTGGAATTAAAAACAGATCTGACAAAAAGGAATTCTTGGTAAATATTGAATTTGGGTAGATAAAACATGTCATGAAGTTCCAAAAATGTGCGCCATAGCAGCATAAACTTTAATGGGGCTAATGTATGGCACATGTTTACCCGGAATGACCTTGACCCTTACATATAAAAAAATAAATGTAACCAATGAAAGAATTCTTTTTATTAATTCAAATACGGAACTTACTTTCGTACCAGTATTTGGTAAAAGTTACATCTATTTTAATTGAAGCGGATGTATCTTAAACTGCTAAAATTGAGATTATCCATGCTTGGATATATTTTGTCCGATAAAGATTACAACAAATATTTTTATTACTGTGGACAAGGCTTAAGGATATACTCTCGTTATTCATAGAAATGGTCGTCATTTTTTATGTCATATGTGCACTTGATGTAAATATTTCATTTTATCTTTATATGATAATGATGGACAATACGTACCTCAATATTTATATTGTGGTAATTCCTCATAAGAATAATTTTATAAAATCTCTTTCAAACAATATGTAGAAGACTGACTATTTGATTTTAAATAACTTGTGATTATATAAAATTTTTATTATTCGATTACCATTTGTAAATTCCACAAAAGCATTTATGTAAATATATATACTAAAAAAATACATATTATTATATAGTAAAATTAGTGTAATTCAGAATTAGTCTTGTGTAACCTGAAATACTTGTAAAATAATTTGAAAGATACTATTTAAATTTCAGTGACACATAATATTTATTTTACTTCTATGTAAATATATGTGTGAGTAGTACATATATACACACACATTTCAAATAATGTATAAAAAAAAATGTAGTTATGTGTAAAAAAAGTATTATTATACATTATTCATAAAAAAAAAATTAAACGAAAGTACAATTTTTTGTATAAATAATGTATAAACCAGCCTGTAGTGTTTATGAATAAGTTTCCAATTCCGGAATGATCTGAATGATAAAATTTTACTGACATTCCTGAATTGGATTGTATATAACCAATAAGAACGCCTCAAATTCAATTCTGACATTTCAGAATAATAAGTGAAAGACCATTCAATAATAATACATATATATATAATTAAAATCTTCTTATTAGTGGGATTAAAGCCTATTTTTTAGATGAAACTCTTTTTTCTATGTAAAAGCTTTCGCAATATTTTATTGCTTCTTCAGTTACACTATATACCAAAGCCACGAATATCTTTTCTATATATATATATATATATATATACACAGGGTGTCTCATAATTAGTGTCTAATAATTTACCACTTGATTCTATTGCCAAAAATAAGAATATTTTTTCATATAAACATGTGTCGAGAAATGCTTCCTAAGTGAGCTATGCCCCCGTAAATGGAGCCTCAAAAAAATTAATTTTTTTTTTAAATTCTGAAACGGATTGAAGAAAAATTATGAATTTCGACGTCTAAAATTTGTCCCAATTTTGTTGCTTGTTGAAATTTTAAAATTCAGATGCCAATGATAATAGACCTTCATTTCCTCTACAAAAAGATACTTTTTATTTCTTTCGATAAATTGCTCCATTTCCAAGAAAAACGGATTTAAACATTTCATTACATTACCTTAATAAAATTAAAAAATCATATCATTATACATTGTAATAAACAATGTGAAAAGTGCTTGGAAAAGCACACTTTTGGAAAATGTTATAACATATTTAAACTGATTTTTCGATATAAAAGAACATTACCAATTTTTCATAGAATACTCTGATTTATAAAATTTGACTGTTTAAATTTGAATATAGCAACATGTGAAAATTTTGGGGCAAATTTCGGAAAAAGAGTACCTTTTTGTAGAGGAAATGAGGGTCTATCATACGTTGGCATCTGAATTTGAAAATTTCAACAAGCAAAAAAATTGGGGCAAATTTTAGCCGACAATCCCCGCAATTGAGACGGCCCTGATTAAAATTTTTGAAAAATTTTATGATCTATTTCAACTTTTAATGAACGCTCAAGATATCAAAATTCATAATTTTCCTCCAACCCGTTTTGGAAATATTAAAAAAAAAATTAATTTTTTGAGGCTCCATTTAGGGGGGCGTAGCTCTCTTAGGAAGCATTTCTCCACCCATGCTTATATGAAAAAATATTCTTATTTTTGGCAATAGAATCGAGTGGCAAAGTATTTGACACTAATTATGAGACACCCTGTATATACATATACTATGTCTTGGTTTTTCTTGCATCATCACTTGTAAGGTATATTTTTGAAAGAAATAATTTTGCCATCTGACCAAGAGCTGTATAATCTTTTTAATTTGTTACTCCTTCCTAATCGAAAACTATTATTTTGAAAAATATTTTGATTTGTTAATAAGACTGAATTATATTTATGTACATATTAGATATTGGCTTTGAGGTATTTTTAGTAACATAAATGTGCAGTTTAATTATTAAACATGTTTTAAGTGTACGTGTAAAAATCGTATAAAACAACAATTAATATTTATGGTTATGTCTAGTAGTGAGTGCATTATAGAATAATCGATATATGTATATGTATAGGAATATTATATTAGTTTTTTTGTATATTTATTTTTAAAAAATATATTGATCATTATTTAAATAATACACATGGACCAATTTAGAATATAAATTCGCTGGTCCTCTTAGGGCAACATATTGCTCATAAGATATCCTGAAATGTTTATTCATAATATGTTAAATATAGGATAAATATGCTTATATGCTTTTGAATAGATTAGGATCCGTCCATCTGGCATTGTAAGTGTTGGATAAGCATTTAAGGATATTTGAAATTGTCCATATTCTTTTTTTATATAATATTTATTTAGAAATGTTTCATTAACATTTTATTATGACTAAATTTTTAAAGTGGTATTCTACTACTGTTTTCAGATTTCAATATGCATAAGCAAAGTTATAATATGACAGTTTGTAAATTATGAAATGTATTGTTTTAAAATCAGAAAAATTTATATTTTGGTTAGATATATAATTAGAATATATAAAATATATCACTTTGTGTATGTTGCATTATATTTGTGTTAAAAATAAAAAATACATACCCACACTGTTGTTTTCTTAAATCTTATGTTAATCAATAACCATTGGGTTAGGATCGATTGTCCAAAGATGAAAGAGAGTAAGTGGTAAAAAACAAAGGTAAGCTAAGTAATATTAGCTTTGTTTCCAGTGCATTAGAATCAGTTTCCAACAGTCGGACGCAATCACATTTGATTCCAAACAATGAGTTTCGAACCTTCTGTGTGCACATTATATCAGAATGTGCATGCATGCACCCCACAGTGGGTTTGAGGTTTTAAATAAAAAATATGCACCAACAAATTTTTTTGCAGTCAAAATCCTAAATTTTTTCATTTTTGCCGAGCTGTTTTTGAGAATAATCAATTTTAATTGAATTATTAATTTAATCTGAAATTGTTCGATTGTTTTTTTCTGAATTTTGGACGACTTATTCTAGTTGTAAATTTGAAATCTGCAAAAAAATTTTTGGTGCAAGTTTTTGTCATTTAAAGCATGTTCAAACTCACCGTCACCTGACTTACAAACTGTTTTGGAATGTTCTAGGAACAAAGCTATTGAAAGATGATCGGAATTCAAAAAATCAGGAAAAATTAACTACCACCTTAAGAAAAAGATGTATATAATTCCAATGAGAATTATCTACAAGTAATTCTTTCTTTCAAACTGTGAGGCCACTAAAATATACATAAAACTGAAGCTCATTAAATATGCTATTTATTTAAATAGGGATTTTGGAATTACAAATTTTTAATAAATAATTAGTCTTGAAAATTAAAACAACCTTGATAACTTAACGTCCTTAAATACTAGTCGAGATCACGCAAGTTTACTGTAGAAAACTTTTCGTCCTCAACAGATACACGTTTCTTATTAGCAACTAACCCATTTCCCAATATAGCATCAGAAGGAACTTCAAGACTTCTAATTGCTTGTTTTAGTAATATATCTGCATGATTATTTGCTTTAGAATCTACCTCTCCCTGTTGGACATCCATCTGCTCTTTTTTCCCAGAACTGTTTTTTTTCATTTGGGCTAGCATTGCTGATTTGCCTATAATTTTTTAAAATGTATATTTCAGTCGGTATAAGTGTTCAGCTGGATACTAAACTTTTAAATTTTTAGAGGCAGCACAAAATATTGTAAAAAACTAAATTAGTACCAAAGTTTAAAATTCAATTATTTTTTTTAATTGGTTATAGGAAAAGCACTTATTCCAATTAAAAACACTTCAGATTTGAAGAAAGCAGTAACAAAAATGTTGGACACTACTTATGTAAGAACGCCTTACTGATAACGATTTACTTTCCACATGCACTACTTCAAGTGATCGAGATTCAATATAAAAATGCCTAACTCTTGAAATAATACTAGAAGTACGTTTGTACCTATCTATAGGTGAGCAAGTTTAAAATAATAATAAAATTTACCTTCCAACTCAAACATTTTCTTCTCAATATGGGTCAATGTATGGTCTTTTAAATGTTCAGATCTTAAGAAAGACTTATTGCAATTTCCCATAGTACAATGAAATTTCCTTTCAGGGATATGCGTGCTTTGATGTCTTTTTAATCGGCTTGCTGTTGTAAAACTCCATGTACAATTCTCAAACTGACATTTATATGGTTTAACACCAGTATGTATTCTAATGTGTTCACGAAGTCTATATGGAGTAGCAAAAGCCTTTCCACAGTTTGGATACTTGCACACATTTTCCAGCCCTTTCTGAGTGCAAGATCTTGAATGAGCATCAAGTATTGACTTGGTAAAAAAAGATTTTGTACATTTTCCTATGCTACAATGAAAAGGGGCATCTCTATTATCATGTGCTTTATAATGTGCCCTTCGTTGCTTTTCATTTTGAAAAAGTAAATTACAACCATTTACAGAACAAGGTAACGTTGCAGGTTTGCTATGTCTCCGCTTATGATCGTTTAAGTTATATATGGTAGAAAAGGTTTTTTTACAGCCTGATATATCACATATAAAATTTCTATTATTTGAATGAGTTTCTTTATGTCTAGCAAGCTTAGAAGCTGTGTAAAATTGCCAAGAACATCCTCGCTGATTACATTTATACGGCTTTATTTGTATATGTTTAAGAATATGAAGTTTTGCTTCCGCAACATGTAGATAGGCTTTGTTGCATTTAAGGGGGCACAAATGTATTTTAGCACCCAAAGCAGTAACTATCTGTGGTAAAGTAATGTCTAACTCCGAACAAATCGGAACCTGATTTACTGTTTTTATTTTTTGTACATTTTCTGACTGTACATAATTATCTGGTAACTAAAATAGAAAAAAACATTTCACTTAATAAAACAGCATATTTTGTCAGTGCCAATATTACCTGCACATTCTGAGGTGAGAAAATTTGATTTCCTTCAGTATCTTTGAAAATTGCAGCAGCACATTGACCATCAACCTTCATCTCTATTGTAAGTAACGTCACTGTTTTTAATGTATCAGTTTTTGGAAACAGACTGTTCGTTTTACATAGGTTTTGGCTTTGATTGCTTTTATCGGTGACTGTTCTTAGTATTGTACCATCAGACTCTATTAGTTTGAATTTCTTGGAGATGTACGTTGAATTGGGAATGCAGATATCAAATGCATCGAACATAGCACTACCTTCGGTAATTTGGGCTTCACTTAAAAGAGGATCTGCCTCAAGTGTAATTAAGTTGTATCTGTTGATGATAGGATATTCTTCATCATTTTGATATATTTTATCCAAATCAATTGATGTATTTTCCATGTCACTATTAAGAAACGAATTAATGTCTTCTTCCATCAAATACAATATATTTTCACCGCAAGGCAAATCCATTTTATTAAAAAATCACGATTACTTCTATCATTAGTAACATTTCTAACCTCCCAAAAGTTCCTCCCTTTTTTAAGTTTAACCTTAACACTGTCAATTGTCAATTGAACGATAGAATGGAAGCATTATCCCTAATATCGATTTGTTATAAAGATAAATGTCATGACGATTAGTTTCCATAATGAAAAATTAATCAGCAAATTCAGAAAACTAATTACTTGAAGCTACAATTTACAAGTCAGGGTTCATACTTCAAAAGTAAAATAAAATTCTCTGACTTTTGCAGGTTTTCCCCGACTTATAAAAAAAAATCCAGGTCACTTTTAGTTCATTTTTACACACTAATTGGTGTATATGCATCAAACTTTTTCTAAACTGGACTCATAATCTTTTTTATACCGAAAGAATCTCTCATAAAGGTTTCAAAACCATAAATAGTTTTCTCTTTAATTAAAAAACCCAGGGCAGGCTTTCACAAAATTTACAAACATAATATTTCCCAATGCTTTTTAAATTCTCCGATTTTCCAGGCAGCTATGAACCCTGACAAGTGCCCAATGGACAACAAACAACAGAATTTCTGCAAAGTTGTTATCTTCAATCGGCATTTTTCAATACTTGTTCACTGTCCAAGGCTACTAATAAAGGTCGGGGTCACTATTATTACTTTCTAAAGTTTAAATTTTTTATTAAATATAGATTAATTCAGTTATGAAAAATCAATTTATTTCATAAATATGAGCGTTATTGTGTTATTCGTTAAATAACTCTTAATTTCTCACATAGCAAATAAAGTTAACCAAAATATTACTTAAAATTTATCAACTGCGAAGAATATTTAATATTAAAAGATCAATAGAAAAAAAAAAGAATTTATTTTGCAGCAAACTCAAAGATACAAATAAAAAAATATACAATTATTAATACAATTAAACAATACAAAAGTCACTAGGTACAATCAGAAAACAAGCAAAAAATTGTACATATGTATTTAATTGAAAATTTACAAAAAACCTAAACTAAGTATGATAAATAATTTCTTTATTAAATAAATTACAAATTTCTTTAGAGAGTACGGACATAAAAAAAAACAACATTACTGGACCACACCACATACAAGAGATTAATTGCACAATTTAAACCTTTATGATTTACTGAAATAACTGTATGATGAATGATTAGATTACTCAAATGATAAATTATGTGTAAAATACCATGCATATCACACTCTGTGCATCAACATTCACTCAAAACATACACTATTAACTTTTGTATACTACAATTCATTTCACAATGCTGTCTGCTGTTTGAGATGTCCTAGCTTCGATTTTACTTCATGAAAATTTGGCCTTTTGTCGGGGTTTAAGTCCCACGCCTGTATTAAAAATATATCTCCAATATTAGATCATTTGATATGAAACATATCTTACCTGTCTCATAATTTCATACACCTCTGGTGGACAACCCTCTGGAGCCTCCATTTTATAACCTTTTTCTACGTGTTTCACCACGTCTGCTAAAGGCTATATAAAAAACAATATTATAGTTACCACCAAATTTCATTAGAATAATACAGGGTGTCCCGCCGGGAACTGCGTCGATCGATATCTGGGAAAGTACTGCTCCGAAAAATTTGAAAAGTTGGCATCATGGCAATGTCCCTGGGACGAACACAACTAATATATCTAGAACTCTCCAGCACATCCGGTTATACTGGAAGTTGACACCAATCTCGTTATTTTAAATGGGACAACCTATATATTATTGCATTTTAGAAGTATATGTGAAATTTTAAGGTCACTTTAATAAATATTTCCTATACCTAGGAGTTATAGAATTTGAGATATTAATTTTTAAAGAAAAAAAATTGACAGATGCAAGGATCCGCGGAGATGCTAGTAACTCTTTTCAGGTGTGGATTTTTGGTATCTGTAAAGCAGCAAATTCTCCACATGTTCTTGAAATTACTTCGTCACATTTTCCATCAATAACAAACAAATTAAAACAATCCTCATTAGTATAATTTAAACGATTCCCAGGAATTTTTATTTAAATTTTCGGCAAAAACTATTCAGACACAACAATAATTTGACAACTAACTTGGCAAATGTCAAATTATTTCAATTATTTTTGAAATGTTTCTGATCATGGACAATTTGACAAGAAAAATTGTCTAAAAAATAGAAAATTGCAAATATCTCTAAAAGTAGTAAAGGAAACCCTAACATTGCTTATATGGCTTAAAAGGAAATTTCAATCTGCATACGACAGAGTAAAAAAATACAGGGTGTTCCATTTAAGTTAACAGAGTTACAGCTGTTTGAAGTTATCAAAATGTAACGGGAAAAATGAAACATCTAGTATTAAATGTTTAATTTGTTGGCATACCATAATTTAGTGTCTGTCCCTTGCATCTGTCAAATTTTTTCTTTAAATATTAATATCTCAAATTCTATAACTCCTAGGTATAGGGAAAATGCAAGTTGTGTTCGCCCCAGGGACGTTTCCATGTTGCCAAATTTTCCAATTTTTCGGAGTAGTACTTTCCTAGATACCTATCGACGCAGTTCCCAGTGGGACACACCCTGTATATTTACAGCTATAATTTGTATATACAGTAGAACGCCGATTATCCGTGCGCGGCTGATCCGAGTGGCGGATTCTTCGTGCGTTGCAATGTTTATGACTACTATCCGCTATCCGTGCATGGATTATCCATGGCGGGGCAAATAAAACGCTCAAATAAAAACAAAGACGAATCTCCGATTGTTCGTCGCATATATATTATTTACCTATGCAGTCTAGCATTTGGTTAGTGCACGTGCAAAAAATTACCGATTTTTTCAACTAGATTCTAGGTACATATTAACATCTTGTACATACAATGTACCTAATGTTTGTACCTATGCAATTGGGTATGTATATATGTATCAACTTTTTTATTTTTTATCGTACATGTGTAATAAAGTTCATATTTTTTGCAAAATTTGTGAGTTTGAGCGTTATTTCGATTAATTAATTATCCAGCAACGGTTCGGTCCTGACCGGCACTGATAATCGAGGTTCTACTGTACTTAAATTCAATTATACAGCCTAAATGGGAACAGATTTTATATTATATATAAATGAATAGTTCAACCCAGCACTTTCTTTTGAATATTTTTCAATGGTACCTACAATTTTAACAAATATTTACTTACTATTCTTGGGTAGGGAACTCTACCAAATGAATAAATTTCCCACAGGAGAATGCCAAAACTCCACATATCAGATTTATTTGAAAATTTCTAAAACAAGTTCAATTGTTTTTTAAGTATGTAAATTTGAGAAAATCACTCACATTTTGTTTGAGAGCTTCTGGTGCAGTCCATTTAATAGGTAATTTTGCTGATTCAGAAGTAGCATTTTTTTCATTTCTTGCCAAACCGAAATCAGATACTTTAGCTCTTCCATTTTCCGCTATTAAAACATTTCTTGCTGCAAGATCTCTGTGTATTACATGCATTTTTTCCAAATATTCCATTCCCGAACTTGTATCAAATGCAAAATTTATTTGATCTTTCCTCGTGACATGTTGTCTGCCTCTAGAACGCAGATAATCCACCAAACTGCCTTTGCTCATATATTCAGTGACCAAATATATCTGATCTTTTTTTCTAACTATACCCAAGAGGTTTACTAAATTTTCATGATGCAATGACCTGAAAATATATAGCGTTTTGGAGACATTTAAAAAATTTTGAATTAGCAAATTTTATTAAAAAGTATTTTATGATCTTACACTTTTTTAAAATTTGCTCCATATTATAATCATTCCGATTATAAGAAGTAAAATATTCATTTTATGTTCTACTCACTTCATTAAAATTGCCTCTGCTTCGCTAGAATCTTTGAGAACTTTCACAGCAACTTTATTACTTTTCCACTTTCCCAACATAACTTCACAGAATTCTCCTTTACCTATTGGCTCACAAATCTGCAATATAAAATATAGTCTTGCATTAAAAATAATTAATTAGTTAACACAAAATCATGAAATAATACTTACAACCAAATCTTGTTCTGGAATGACACACAAGTCGTCACTTTCCTTAGAAACGGACTTAGTAACATTTGAATATATTTCATTTTCTTTTGGCAATGGTTTGACTAATTTTGTACACAATCCATCAGCATCATTTTTATAATGTTCTATGAGTTCCTCTAAATTATCAAAGAACTCTTCATCGTCTATTGTTAACTTGTCTCTACTGGACTTGACTCGATAATGTTCAACTTTTGTTTGAAAACATACACATAATGTATAGTCTCCAGGAAAATTCGTAGACTCTCTCACAAGAAATAATCCATCAGTTCTGGGCCGCAAAAGATTCTCCGCCTCTTCTCGAGAAATTTTACCATGAAACCAACTGAAAATAGTTTTTTTTTTTTTTTTGTATTTTGTCTCCAGTTCATTGATGTTAATAATATATCATTTAAAAAATATTTTGCACCAACTAATGAGCTGCTTAGAACAACATAAGTACTTACGGTGTGGAACTATATTTTGAATTTGATTTCAAAGGGCTCTGTACACGATTAACATTAACATCATGTTCACTATTACCAATTTGATTACGAAAATTGCTACTATCAGCAGGACTTACATTCATATTGTTTTGGGGTCTTAAAAGTAAATTGCACTCGTGTACAGTATTATTATCCATTTTTTGAGATATATCTTGTGGTGCCATCTAAAAACAAGAAATGAAAAGTTGAAGTAAAAGCATTAACAACTACAGATTAAGTAAAGCAAATGTCACTTTCAGCAGATATAATGAATATAATTCTTTTAATATACAGACTGATTGGGTAAAAAATCTTTAATTTGTAGGCCTTTATATCAAATTTACATTCCTTTATATATATTTTTTATTTCCTTTGACTAAAACAAAATTATCTTTGAACGACAAGGTCATGATTAATGATTCAACACATTAATTCGATTAAAAAATGTTTAATTTTATTTGTAAGTAACGGCTAATTAAACAATAATAAAACTAATGAGTCAAGGCTTAGATACTGCAAGAAATTACATATTACTATAAATGCAGATACTATTACGCAGGTGTACATTAATACCAGTAAGTATTTGAAACATCCTATTTTAAAAAAAGTGCAGTTACCTATTTTTAAAAAAGTTATCATATGGATGAACTGTTAAAAATATTATACACTGAAACTTACCCATGAGGACTCTTCATATGGACGGGAAACTTCGCTTGGGGTACTTCTTTTAATACCCCTGGCGGGAACTGTTGGAGGGTTTGGTACACTGTTTGATTCCCATTGGCCATCCGGTTGACGATACTGATCAAAAATATAAGGTTGATACCTCTAAAAACCAAAAACAAATTGATACGATGCCTCGAGTATTCAATTATTTAAAATATAAATACCACTAAGAAATATTAGCTATACGACTTAAAAAGTACATACCTGTGTAAATGATGAATTTTGACTAGTCATCACTTTACAGCTTCGTCAATCCTACCACATAATTAACTGCAAAAGGGTAACACCCATTAATTCTTTGAAACAAACTTTTTAAAGGGCATACAACAAAACTAACTGCTAAAAGAAAACTGTTTCCAACATCATTCTAAAAGCTCCCATTGATGCACAACTTTTATTCAAACTAATACAAGTTATTTCACGGCTAATGCACACTTATTTAATTTGCTTGTGTATCTAATTGCTTAATAAATAAATAACGGAAATATAAACTTAAACGCACTATTTTTACCAGTATGAACTTATCACTAGATTCACTAGTTACTGATAGTTTAAATATGAAACAAACTGATAAAACGCGGAAACAATCTTTATACCTTATAATACTTTTAAAATGTTGTTAATATCAATCACTGACCCAATAAACAAACAATTAAGTAAACCATTACTTGTGCACGAAAACGAAATTATTGAAAACTCACCACATAATTTATTTAGTATCTGCACATATTTTTAAAACAGTCTCCCTAAACTGACCATAAATTGTTTTTGAACTTTGAAAACATATTTTAAAACGTCAATCCTTAACCAACAATCGCCATTTTCTTTTCATTAGACGTCGATCATGTAGGCTTCTTTATTGTTTGGTGCACATTTTGAAATCGTATTTTTTAACGTTAACATTAAACAAGTTTTTATAGTCTTAAAATAACTGTAAGGCGAACATTGGGTGGAAAATATCTGGTTGAACAGAGACGAGCCATTCTACTAGAAATATACATACAAATTTTCAATTTGAACATTATTGTACGTTTGTTAAAAAAAAATAAAAAAAATGACCCGCAGAACCCATTTATAATCCACTGGTGTTCGGTAGTTACCATACCTAACCGGTGCTAATGCACCAGAAATATTGGTTGTGTTCACGACTAGTTATCTCTTTTATCTATGTTCACGACGCAAAATTTTGCTAGCTCATGCGGGCAGTTTTGTGATAAAAGTGTGATTGAACAAACTTATGCAGTGTAGATCAAGGATTTTATACAAAAATATAAAATCCTTTGGTGTGGTCTATGGGTATATATATATATGTTGTATACACTCCATAGACAAACGCTACGATAGTTGTCAGTTGTCAGTACATTACATTGTGCTAATCTGTGATTGTGCTTTCGGTTAGCACCTTCGAGTATATACCTACTCTACTGGAGGCAGCCTTCAATGTTAAATGGATATATATATATAGATGAACATTGGATATATCGTGATAATACATGTATTATAAATATCCTTGGGGCTGACTAAACGCCGACAAATATTTTATGTGACGTTGAACACAACCATTCATTCTTTTCCTTTGCTGTTCGTATCACCTGCGTTATGGCCCATTTACACGAGGCCAGTTGTGAAGACATTCCATTAAGCTAATCCAATGATAAAGTTGAGGACAATCCAATAAAAATTCAATTGAAGTTTACACGTAGGCCAGTCCGTCATCCGCCAGGCTAGTATCTTTGTATAATCTATGTGGTCTAGTATATATGATTGTGTAGAATGGATAGGCTAGGGCTAGGCTAGGCTTGGCTAGGAACGTACGTTCTCACAAATGCCATTACACTTGCCAATCCACTTCTTGAGTGGTGGGGGACGCTATTGGCTCCTAAAATTAGAAACCGTTCTAATTAGTGGAGTGGCTTGGGACAATGGCTGGAGACATTCCATTTACAGGACTGTCTCATTTACACGATGCCAATGTTGGATTGGCTTAGTGGAATGTCTTCACAACTGGCCTTGTGTAAATGGGTCATTACGCTTGAGTGGGAGTACAAAATACATATGTATCAATGATTATGATCAAAGAATGATATATAAGTAATAGAGACGCAGTCTTCCATATCAACATTCTATTTAATTTATCGTAAAATAACTCAAAAATGGGAAGACACTAACATTATAATCTAAGATTTTACAAAACCAGGAGCTATAAATACAATTTTTTTCTCATACATTGTATGATTGGCTGACTTAATTAATGGGACTTATGTGTAGATCTTGTCTGTACCTTCGTAGTTAGTTGTGTCTGCCGTTTGCCATAGTACAGTTTCCCGTCTAATATTACAAAGTCAATGACATCCAATCAATCATATTTTTAGAGCATAACATTTCTGTCGCTTCCTTAAAATTTTTTTATATAAAATAATGACAAGGAAGATAGCTAATCGTCAGTTACTACAGGATGTGAAACTGTAAATAAATATAATTTACAATCAATAATGAATAAGTTTGGTAACCACCCGTATTTAAAAGCTGCTATGTGATTGTAGATCTAATACAATATGTAAAAAGTAGAAGGTTGAGAAAATTTAATCCATAATATTAAATTATATAGACATGAATTCAAAATATACCAGGATATTAGTGTTCATAATTTTAGTCTTTATAATATTTAAAACCTTTCGTCATTTTCTTCCTGGCCATATGTCCAGATATGAAGACATTTATGATGTAAATGAAAATGGTTTGGAAAAAGTTAAAGTGTCTGTGTATTATGAAGCATTATGTCCTGATTCAAAGTTTTTCATTACGTTTCAATTGCTTCCAGTCTATAAAGATTTAAAGGATTACTTAATCTTGGACCTCGTACCATATGGTAAAGCACAGGTTAGTTCAATTAATTTCAAGTGATATAGTAATTTTTTACAATAGTTTAATGCATTGTATTTTCTTAGACCATCGAAGTTGATGGACATATAAAGTTTCATTGTCAGCATGATGAGGTAGAATGTTTCGCCAATAAAATACATTCATGTGCAATAGAACATGTCAAAGAACCCTTATTGCAACTGAAATATATCGCCTGCATGATCACTGATAACATGATACCAGATGATGCTGGTGAAAAGGTAATAATTAAACATATAAACAACAAATTTTATCTATCAACCCAAAAACTTCGTCTCAGAACGACTATTTTTTTATTAAATTTTTAGTGTGCCCAACAACTGAACATTGATTTCAGTCCAATTTCTGAATGTGCAAAAGATACTAAAGGATCTCAGCTCTTAAAAATGTATGGAGAACGAACAAATTCCCTAAATCCTTCAGTTCGCTTTATTCCAACTATAGAATTAAATAACAGCCAAGTTGTGATCCCTCAATCTACTATATTGAAAGACCTCTCTAAGTCTGTATGCCAGGTTTTCAAGAACAAACCAAAAAGATGTGGATAAAGTTAGTGGTTTCAAAGCGGACAAAAAAATTACTTTTTGCGTTAGTGATAATGTATATGTTGTAGAATTGATTTATACGAACAAATTAATTATTGTTTTATACATATAAATACACAATATCATAAATGTAGTTTATATAACTTTCAAATACAATTATATTTTTTAATACAATATTTTTCGTTTTCTTGAGCTTAACATTAATTTTTATTATGAATGATAAATTTGATATTAAACAAAATGAATGAAAAAATTACATTCATATATTTTAAATCTATCAATATTGGAATTTCATAGATCAAACAGAATTAAACATTTTTATCATTCTAAAAAAAATCGGGTAAAATTAGATCCAGTTATATTCCACGAGTGGTTAAAATTAAAATATAGACAAAAAAAATTATAGAGTTCAGGAAACTTATAATTTTTACACTTAAAAAATAAGTAATTTATAAAATATTCAATACTGTGTAGAAAATTTATTTTATACAAGCCGTTATGAAAAACAGACGACTAAATAATTTAGCAGGACTGTAAAATGCTGGTTTTATTTTCAGTGCCTTACAAATTCACAAATAAGCAAGACAGAATAATGCACAAATATTTCCAATATCTCAATAATATAACATATTTCAATTAATAAATAAAAATATTTTTATCTAAAAATATACTCTCATTCGTTACAGTTACATGAACATGAACTATAGTGTTTTCAACCATATAGTCGTAATTGTAGAAAATAGTAACTTAAAGTTTTAATGAATATATCAATAACAAAGCAAATTGTTCATAATTGCCCCTACTTTTCAATTTCCTTTTTATTTTTCTAGTTATTTCTTATAACACACAGAAATTTCCACCATTCCACCTCATTTTGGAAATTCAATATAACTAATTATCAAACAAATTTCTGGACACATTATTGAAAAGTACAAGATTATTACTTTTAGGTCTTTGCATGTTCGTAACATTATAAACTTTTTTATCAGTATAAATAAGGTAAAACAAAGTGTCAATTTAATGTGGAATTTTTACAACTCATTAAGTTACACAATTCAATTAAATTTTCCCGACATATTACCAAGAAAAATCTGGAAGGCAAATTATATATAACAAAATATGAATACATACTTTCTTTTACAGGCAATTTTTATATAAATTAAAAAAATGTTTTGATGTAATTGAATATTGAATTTCAAGGTACCTATAGATAGCACAAAATAATTTATTATTAAAATTGTGACACTTTTGTCCTGAAAATTATTTAAAAAAAATATTATTTAATATAATACAAAGAATATTTAAAGGCTGAAAAACATCTTACACCTATTCAGTCTTCAGTTATTAAATATTAAAGGTATTTTTGGTAATATTTAGTGAAGTAGAAATAAAAAGAAAAATAAAAATGTGAAATATTATAAATACATGTATATTTCATTGAACTTTTTCAGTATTTAAATAATTTAAAAAATTTATAAAGAAATATCACTTATTAAATTTTATATCTACTTTATAGCGGGAATTTAAAATAATACATGATGAGTAATCTATAAGTATATATATATATATATGCAAAACACATAAGAACTACTAATCATTTTAACGTTCACTTTTTAAGTTTTAAATGCAGCAACAATATTTTACAATATAAAACAAAGTTAATACAATACGAATTAATTTATTTACAAAATATGTTACGAGGTAATTTTCAAGAACACTGGTCTGATACACAAATTCACAACCATTCATCGATGGCTAACTAGAGACAATCTTGCACTGCCGCTATACACACTACTTTTAGGTAAAGTGCTAAATTTAGGACTGTGAACTGGCAGTTTGGAATGTTGAGGTTATGATCCAGCCCTGCATCCCAAATAATCACCTCTTAAAATTATTATTACAATAGCGCTGGGTTGCAGTCATGTACTAAAATTAGTGTGTTCCAGGGTGCTATAACTTATGATTGCTAGTAAGCCATGTAAGGCCTTCATATAGACCATCACCAGTTGTGGCACATGCTGGTTGAACGTACCAGTTACGATCCCTTATTCGGGTCAGCCCCAGTTTTTCTTGTATCTCATGGGGTTTCATGGCTTCTGGCAGGTCTTGTTTATTGGCAAAAATGAGTATTATCGCATCACGCATTTCTCGATCATTAATTATGCGATGAAGTTCCTGTCTAGCTTCATCGATACGATCACGATCTGCACAGTCTACTACGAAAATTAAACCTTGGGTGCCTGTGTAATAGTGGCGCCATAACGGTCTGATTTTATCTTGCCCCCCGACATCCCACACATTAAATTTAACATTTTTATAGGTCACTGTTTCCACATTAAAACCCACTGTTGGAATTGTTGTTACTGATTGCCCTAACTTCAGTTTGTACAATATTGTCGTTTTCCCAGCCGCATCCAGACCGAGCATTAAAATTCTCATCTCCTTGTTGCCAAATATTTTTGACAGTAGCTTTCCCATGGTTCTGGAGGGCCCTTGCAAATACTGCTATCTAAAAACCAACTTATATGTAATAAAACACGTCTGATAACTACATCCTAGTGAATCAGCACACAATCGCACATCTCACATGTCAGGAAATCATACTTAGACAGCGAAAAAGGCGTGTATATGAACAAGTTGATGGCAATGATGGCTATGGCGGTCATCAGCTAACGGAATAAAATCGATGCATTGCAAACTGATTCATCCAATTACACACAAATCTACTGTCAAATCAACCTACCATTAAACATTGACAAGTATTTACATAAACATTTATAGGCAACACTTGTTTGCCGAAATACACTCCATATTGCTGTTAGAAGTGTCCGACCGCCTACAAACGGACTGCGCGATGCGCAAGTTTATAAATTTATTATTTGGTAGGTGGCGTTGTGCGGAATGTCTCATGACGCGTGAACATCATCCGGGGCGTATTCCTTTTTACCTTGGTTAAATACTTCGAGATTCGTAAAGTGCTTCGTCACCGAGTGCTTCTAAGTATTCCAGTATAATTAAAAACGTATGTATGTGGAGCATTCCGGAATAACATCGTTAGAACTCCAACTGACACATGAAGTTATCACGAACATCACTATCACGAGGAGAGTCCACTGAGAGAATAAAACGAACACACCATTTTGGCTTAAATAAAAGGCGCAAAAGTTGAAGTTGAAAAAATAAAACACTGTACAAAGGATTACTTGTTCAAACAAACTACACTTCTGTTTTTATAATTTCTATTAACCGTTTCTGGAATATCTTCTCTGTTAATTAAATGTGTGGTTAAAAGTGTGCCACTTATTATTTCTGGGACCCTGTATAAGTTGTAGAGATGTAAAGGAATATATTTCCTATTCCTATTTCCTTTATATCACTACAACTTATACGAGGGCCCACAAATAAATGGCATTCTTTTAACTATACATTTAGCTCATCAAAAACGTACCTTATTACTTATTAACTACAATTTTTTTTTTTAAATTTTCTTATATTAAGAGAATTTTTCCTGTTACGAAACGCTTAGTTGCGTTACTAATGAACAAAAATAACAAAAAAAAACTTATTAGTGCTAGTACCTATTTAATATTTAAATTAACACAAAATTTTAAGGTGGTGAATTATTCCATAAAATATTCGCGTAAGTTACTTAGATATTTCTAAAAAATACGTACAAATATCCGAGTTTTAAAACAATGGATTAGACCGAAATTGTTGCTTTTCAATAATTAAATATGTGTTAAAAATTGTGGCACTTATTTCTGGGACCCCCTGTAACAAATGATTTTCAAACAATGAAAAATGTTACATTACCAACTTCTGCAACCATCAAATCGCGAACATAGTCTCATGGTTGCATGAGGATAGAGTAATATATAAATATAAATTAACTTTCATAATATTTCTACTTTTATTTGTACAAAGACCTGTGCCGAGTGCACGTTTTTAGTTGGACAGTTTCAACCGTTGAATGAAGAGACCAAATCAATGCAAATAAATAAATCACGACGTAAAAGATATACAAATAATTTTTTAGGTTTTTAAAAAATAACAATCTTGATTAAAGTTATCAATATTCACGGTTTTAATGGGATAAAGTTCAGTAATAAGATAAAAAAGAAACGTAATTTTTAATTCATCCCCAACGTTTCGGTGATGGTTTACACCATCTTCAAGGCTCTAATAAAATACATGTAAACACGTTTTTACATTTGTTTAAAATTATGTCAAATATAATTAACAATCGAATATTTCTCCATAAATCGATTCGACAATTTCTTAGTGCTGATGGATTCCTTTAATATTTCGCAGTGAAAGATCACGAAAAACATGGGCGTCCATCGGAATGTACCCTTCCTGTTTTGTCGAGAATTTTGTAAAAATACTCAATAATTACAATTATTAATTCGTGTGTCGTTACTATAAGTTTCGTAAAAGCATCCTGCGGGGTGTAATTATGTTTATAGTACCGACCGTATGCGATTTTCTGTTTATTCAACGGGCGTGTAAAGTTTAGGAAATGTAGGTAATGACAAATACCTATATGAGGTAAAAATATGTTTTTTTCCTTATTCTGAATGTATTGTCAGCTCGTAAACTGTCTTACACTCTTGAGAAAACTTGTATAAAGTATAACTGGTACAGTGAAGAGATGAGAGATTGTTTTCAACTTGCTTAGATTTTCTAAAATCCGCGTCAAAAGACTGTTATAAATTCATTGAAAATAACGCATAAAAACGCCACCCTTAATTCAAAATCATCATACAGAAAAAAAAAATATATTAAAAACACTTTAATTGCCGGTTTTCATATTTTATGTCATATTAATAACAGAAAAAGGAAAAAATTCAGTCCATGTAGTACCTTAAATATTCTATTCCACTTCCTCATCATATTCATTGTAATCCTCGGCTGTTGCAGACTGAAATTAGAAAAAAATTAGAACTGATTGTATTCTGTATTTATAAATACACAAATACATTTCATGTCGAGTATATCCATTACATGTCTAGGGTCTAGGGTTGATTAACTTACAATTAGAGGGTCAAGCGTCATACTAGTGTGTATAAAAGGCTTAAAATATTTTAACTGATGAGCGGGTGGCGACACGACATTTCAAAATTAATGAACCGGGAGAGTTAGTACAGCATGGCTATACATTTGCAAGAAACAAAACGGCCTCGGGAATCACCGACTGGTCCAGATTCAGCATAATAATAGCTTTGTTCCTAGTAGAATCCAAAACAGTTTCCAACAGTCAGACGCATGCGCATATGGATGTAATGCTTACATAAGGTTCAAAATTCATTGTTTCGAATCAAATGCGATTGCGTCGGACTGTTGGAAACTGTTTCTAATGCACTAGGAACAAAGCTAATATATACTGAACGGTCGGTGTGCTACTGCTGATTTTTAAATTTGTTCATCACACAGTAACTAAAAAATTGAAACAATATTTTATTTGTTCCCTGAAATTGCTTGCTGCTCATGCTATTTATTACATTGAAATACATTTAAGTATAAAAAAATCAATAATGTACAAAATCCTTCTTTTCGAATAAGTTTAAATCTGTTAGAGATGTTTTTGAATAATTTACTTACTTCATACTGTTGGTATTCACTAATCAAATCCTTCACATTACTATTAGCTTCTTCAAACTCTTGTTCATCCATACCTTCACCGAGATACCAATGTAAGAAGGCTTTTCGTCTGTACATTGCAGTAAACTGTTCGTTTATTCTAACAAAAAGTTCCTGCACTGCTGTCGTGTTAGCTATGAATGTTGAAGACATGGAAGAAAAAGGTGATGGAATATTACAAACCGCAGTTTTTACGTTGTTAGGAATCCATTCCACAAAGTAACTGTTATTTCTATTTTGCATTTCGTACATCGTTTCATCTAATTCTTTCATCGATATATTTCCTCGGAATATCGTCGCCACAGTAAGATATCGTCCATGAGTCGGGTCACAAGCTGCCATCATATTTCTGGGATCAAACATTTGCTTCGTTAAATCCTGCACGCTCAGTTTTCGGTAAGCGACGTTTCCTTTGGCTGTTAAAGGTGCGTATCCTGGTACAAAGAAGTGCAGCCGCGGAAATGGAACCATGTTTACAGCCAGTTTTCTTAAATCCGCATTTAATTGACCAGGAAATCGGAAACAAGTAGTTACGCCGGACATTACTAAAGAAATTATATGGTTAAGGTCGTTATAAGTAGGCATCTTTAACTTTAATGTTGTAAAACAAATATCATAAAGGGCCTCGTTGTCTATGCAGTAAGTCTGGTCGCTGTTTTCAATGAGTTGTTGTATAGCTAAAGTTGCATTGTACGGCTCTACGATCACTTCAGAAACCTAAAAATTTAAATACTGGATATTTTGCAAATATAAAAATTTTATATAGTGCCGGTTCGAGACTGGCAATGAAACGTGGATGTTTTGAAAATATTTAATTTGTATTATTTTACTTCTAGTAATGAATTGTTTGACTGTTGTGAAATTGTGGAAAAATTGGGTACCAATAAACATTTCTTATGAGATATATCTTAGCGTTTACGTTTTTACCTTTGGCGAGGGGACAACACTAAACGTGGATAAAATCCTATCAGGATATTCCTCGACTATTTTCGTGGCCAATAGTGTTCCTAGGCCAGACCCAGTGCCACCACCTAACGAGTGAGTCAATTGAAAACCTTGAAAGCAGTCACAACTTTCAACTTGTTTTCGCATTACCTCCAATACACTATCGAGAATTTCAGCACCTTCGGTGTAATGACCCTTAGCCCAATTATTACCAGCTCCACTTTGACCGAATATAAAATTGTCTGGGTTAAATAAGTAACCATATTTACTTGCTCTAACAGCGTCCATAGTACCTGGTTCTAGATCCACCAATACTGCTCTAGGGACATAATTATAATTCGATGCTTCTTTAAAATACACATCAATTCTTTCTAACTGTAGATCATCGACTCCAGCATAACTCCCATCAGGTTGTATGCCATGTTCGGTGGAAATCATTTCCCAAAACTAACAAAAAAAATGCAGTCATTCCTTCATAATCAATTATTCCTTTACTTTTTCATAACATTATTTAAAATTTAAAATACGGAATACGGGGATTCCTGAAATAAGTGTCAAAATTCTAACCACTCTAAAAGTCTTTTATCCAATTTTTTTTACTATCTAGATTAGCAAAAAAATTTAAGATAGTGAATTATCCATAAAATAAAATATAAATATATTACTTAGACATTTCTTTAATCTTAAGCCCGTTAGCGTTATTTTAATGGGTACAAAATACCGTTGAAAAAATGGGACATTTCTTCCAAAGAATTTATTGGACAAAAGTTGTTGCTTTGGATGAGTATACAGGAATAACTATGTATCATTGAGATATTTAGTTAAATCATTTTTATTTATAAATAAAAAGGCTCTGAAATGTTTCTTTTTTAATTTATAAATATTTGTACGAGTTCGTTTTCTGACATAATCTCACATCACGGCAATCTGAATATGACGACATTATCAGTGGTTACTTTTAATTAATTGTTTTTTAATCTGTAATAGTTAGTATAAGACCAAGAAAAAGAAAACGGGATATCTGTATGTTATCGCTAAGTAAATAGATTTAGAGTAATTTGTTAGTCATGTAGATTACTCTACAAAAATATTAATGTAGTCAAAAATTTACTTAGAATACTTATATGGAGTTTGTGTATAGTTCTTAAACATTTAAGAATTTTTAAGAGTATGAGGATATAATGTATACATTTTGAATTTATTATAAATGTGATACTAACAATAAGTAGTAAATTTTAATTAAAGTGTATTAATGTAGTTACTTACCTTTGATCCTATCTGATTTCCACACTGACCCACTTGAATATGCACTATTTCACGCATTTTTTCAATGAATATATATAATATCTCCAGTAAAACTCTACGACTGCCGTAAAATATAATAAATTAAAAAAGTACAGGTACAGGCACCTATCTGATAAGATATGATACAACATGAGTAAGGTTAAGTAAACATTTTATTGAAATCGGTAAAATAGTCCAATCCTAAGGACTTACTCATATTCTCTTGAAATCTCTTGAAATGTGATTAATTTTAAAATGTATTCACTTGTTCAATATAATTATCATGTAAACTTAATAAACATTTTATAAATAGGTATGCAAATATATTACTTACATACAGGGTGCCCCGAAATAGACATAGACAGTTCGTTAGTGTTATTTTAAATACCTTACAAAAATGTGACTTTTCGGATAAATTATTTAGATAAAAGTTATTGCTTTGAACAATTCAAATACATACGTGGTTAAAATTTTAGCATTTATTTCTAGGACACCCTGTCTATAACTAGACATTATTTGTTAACAAATTATAAAATCTATAAAATTTGAATCTAGAACTGAGTAAAATTTTCCAAATTTGCTTTAAGAAACGTAATGAAAATTAAAAATGAAGAAAAGCAGGAATAAAAAAAAATTAAATATGTACAAATCTCTATAGTGTACATTTTATTACGACCATGTGATAATTAAGCTAACCCACAATTAAACACAAAAGAGGTAGCAAAGAAAATAAATATCCACTCGGGATTTGGATAATTGATGGATTGTAGAGGATTATAACAAAATTAGTTACTACTTATATTCAGGATTCAGGATTCAGGTAAACCTTTATCAATTCATCTTCTTTCCGTTTCTCATAATTTTGGGACGGTATTTATTCAAATTTGAAATATGTATATGTATATATGGAGCAATGGAAAATTCTAAATAGAATAGGTATATGTACAATAGAATACATAAATATTGTTCCATTTAGTTTTGTATGATGGCTAAGTGCGTCAGAAGATTATAGGGAACGGAAGTCATACTAATCATCAAGAATTCTTTGATAGTCGCCGGCCTCGTCAATATTATGTTAATTTATTATCACTCCTAACCGGTAAAATTTTGATTTTAAATAATGAGCAAAATCCGTACGTACCTTTTGATACAACATTATCAAATAGAAGTGTTCGGCTTCTTGGGCATATTAAGAAATTAGGTAATCAAATCAAGTGCACGAGTAAGTGAGAAATTGGCGGCATTTGATAGGAACGTGAGGATATTTTAAGAATATAGGATAGTCGCGCGGTAATTGTTCGCCGATTGCTTGATAGGAGATGGTAGATATATCAGGATATTCAGTCTTGTGGATACTTACATATGCTGTAATGGCGACAAAAAAAATTAAAGTAATGTAATTTGGAGAATTTACATTCTAAACATATACCGTGGGTGGTCCATGTTCGGAGAACATCGACGCCGGTCGCTGTAGAGAGCTAGCAGACCCCAAAGTACTACGACGTGCAACTACAATGAACGGCTGGCTAGCGGCACTGCATAACTCTCCGGCCTTCTCAGTGTGCGAAGTGAACTTGATCGGACGGTGGATGAACTGTGTTGTTTTGAAATCATCGTACCGTGTTTTTAACATCTTGTTTATTTACATCGCGCGTTAAATAACACTCCGGCGATGTTTCTGAATTTGGATTAGTGCCTGCGCCTGCCGTGATGTAGCCTGTTTAAATACATTTAAAAGACTATTTCTACAGAACTGTTATAAAATGTTACGCATACGTAGGACTCTGGTGCTGGGTGGTGTATATTGATATCCCTTGTGAATTAAGTAAGTTCCATTGCGGATCGAAATGTCTACGAATACGGATGTGTCAAAGAGATGGACGATGTTAGTGGTTGGTGGTACCTGGACTATCGATGTTTAAAGTGACAGTTGCCGATGAGTGGGCCTGAGGATCACTGCTGGTACCGCGTGCCCGACGAGGATGGCCTCCATGGCGCCATCGGAGTCACCAGCAGAGTCTGCAGGCAGGCACGAGTCCGACCTTTACATCAGACCTGGATGGGTCGACGCGGACGTCGCTTTGCGCCAACTAGATCAGGTAAACAGTTTTTTTTCTCGACCAGGTGATTCCCTTGGAGGTTGCGGAAACCGGCGGGACGATTCCTGCCGCTTAAAATCAGGTGTGATAGATGATTTTGGAGCCAGACCTGATCGCGGTCTGGTGGGCGATGTGCCGTGTTACGCTAGCCTTGGTGGGACCACCGAGATCGCCGCGTGTGTGGTCCACAGCTAGCTTAGCGGCTTAACTTACCTGTGCCCGCAACCCCTCCCCCCCCCCCCCNCCCCCCCCCCCCCCCCTCTACCGACCGAACAGTCGCGCAGTTGCCCACCCCTCGATCCCCTACTGGCCCTGTTTGTATGATCCATTTCCGGAACCGAAAGTTCAACCCCTGATGTCTCAATCGCTACGCTACGCTAGTATTCTCGCATGTGTCATGTGTGCTAGTAGTAGTGTAGGAGTGTAGGATAGGTACTCTTTCCTGCCAACGTGCTTATTATTGTAACACCGACTGGCTAGAAACTGAACATTCGATTAATTTATTATAAATTGCCAATTGGACTCCTTTAACAAACTATATATTATCGCAATTATGCCCGACGAGTTTGTTAAACCATTTGTTTTTTATTTCCTTTCTAAAATTTCATAAACTTAAGAGTTTTGCTGACTACCGGTTAGTGTAGCTGGATACGCACCTTAGGAACAAAAGCAATCGAGCATGAATATAGTATTAAAAAGAAAGTAAAAAAAGAATCAATTACTTTTTACGTTTATCATAGATACCTTAATTTCAGTTTTCTTGATAATGTAATGTTTAATTTCTATAAATTCGGAGTAATTACATATACAGGGTGTGAACAGTTACAAAATGCTTCTTAAAAAATTATTTTATTCAAAATTATTGAGCAAAAACAACATCAAAATTTCAAATTTTGTTATCAAATTAAATAAAAATGGTACGGAGAAATTTATGTCATTATTTACCCCCATACCCCCATAGCTTCCGTTTTAACCCAGATGTGATAATTTTTGGTCATTCACTGTAAAAGTTTAGTAAATGTGCAATATTTGATTTAAGTATTTTTAAAAGAAAACCGCATCCAGAGTTCAAAATATCCACAAGTTGTATTAGAACACCCTGTATATTTTTGAATCATTTAACAGGGTGTGGCTATATATAATTGCCATAAAAAATATAAAAAGTCAATTTTGAACTCGCACTGAATTGAAGCAACCTATTCTGTACCTACTGGTAAATAATATATACTTGGTAAAGTACCTATCAGATATACGGGGTATATCTAAATAACACCGAAAAAATGTAAGGGACGATTCTCTGATGAAAATTAATAGGGGTCTTTGGTATAAAATTTCTTGAAAAAACTCTTCCCTGAAAAGTTATGCCCCTCCAAAATCAAGAGATCAAAAAATTTGTAAATGAATGGGGCTTTTTAGACATATTTTTTAAACGGAAAAAATTTGATCGAAAAAAAAATGTCAGGGGTCAATTATTTCAACCCTTTACAAAAATACTTCAGGAATGAAAAAATTTCAAAAATTGTAGTATTTTGGACGGATAATGTTCACCAAGTTTGATTTCTTTAACTTAATATACGTGGAAGATAAAAAAGAAAAACAATTTTTAATTTTCATCAGAGAATCGCCCCTTACATTTAGATATACCCTGTATACTAACAAACTGATCACATATTTTGGTGATACCTACTACTGGTGTTTTAAAATTCCGGTTGGGTAATATCACCGCGGCCGAGATTGTTACGGATTGTCGCGTTCGTCGGTGGGCTCCTTTAGACTGATTAAGACATCAAACTATATTACGTCTTGTACCGCCTCAAGGTATAAGAACGGCATGATAGGAATGATGTCTATTTGAGAAGTGCTTTGGGCAGCATTACAAAGAGCGGCTGTTAATGATTTTATTAGTGATATAATTTAACACAATTCCTGATGTTTCTAAAAATAATTCTCAGAAAATGTATGCGCAAAATATTTGTAAAAAAGTTACCCACATCGACACTTTAGTATATAAGTATATGACCTAAAATTCTAAAAGAACTATTACCGAGTTTTTGTTGGCTAATTTAAGAGAAATAATAAAGGCGTTTTATGACAGTTCCTATAAAGGATAATAATTGAGATGTAAAGACGTTATGTTGTATTAGTAGGTGGTCCCAACCCAACCCAGCGATAATATGACGAACATAAACCCTCAAGGTCAGCAATACATCAAAAGTGCAGCTTTGCTTAGAATAAGTTATAGCTTTGGCTAAACTAGGATAAGCCATATTTAAACGATTGATGGTATACTGTTTATCTGTATACTATGGAATTTTTAATTTTCTTGTCCCAAAAATGTGATAATATTTGTACAGCTTAAAAAATATGACCATTCTTAACGCAAAAAATTCTGCCTGCCCACTTATGTTTGTTGCTTTCGTATTAACAAAAAAAAATTACGGGCCAAAGCTGTTGGAAATTAGATTTGTGACTTCAAATCTGTGCTTGGAAAAACAATTGAATGTTTTTTAATATATATTTTTTAAATAACATCAACAATAAACAAGATACTCTTTTGGACATATATCGCTTATTATTAGAGATAGACCTAACAAATCTTATATCACTTTAAATTTAAAGGAGCGAAATGTACGAAATCAAAATGTAACATTCAACATTTTTGAAATCATAAGAAAATTTCCAACAACTTTGACCCGTCCATTTTTTTTTCTAAATCGAAAAGCAACTAAGATAAGGGGGCTAGAATGTTATGTGAAAAACCTTGTACATACTAAGTATAGCGTTTATCCTGGCATATTTCAAAAATAATTTTAAAATTACATGTTTAGTTAATAGTTAATAGTTAATAGCAGGGCCGTAGCCAGAAGGGCAGTAAAGGCAAGCCCCCATCGAAAAAGTTTTTCCTAACCTAAAAAGTAGTAAAGTAGAAGTAGAGAGTTGTATTCCTTGCAAATTTTATTGCCTTTCTAAATATACATTGTGACTGCGGCCCTATAGTCAACAATAATATTTTTTAGGAGTTAGCCGCCATTTTGTTTACATTAATTTTTACGGGGGTATTTTTTTAATTTAACGCTACGAAGTTTGGAAATATATTTTTTGATTAGTAACGAAATTAGTACATAAGTATTTTGTCAATTTTAAGTATCATGCGATAGAGGCTACTCCGTGGAGTCCCTTTAACTTTATATACCTTTACGTGTTGGCTATGAGGTCCTTCCAAGAAGGACGGCCCACGATTCAGGGTATGATTGAGCCGGACTACGCGGAGTACACCGTATTCGTATGTATTGTATCTGGGTGGTCTGCGTGACGTCAGGCCGCTTCTTGGGTGGTCTATTGCATGCTGTACTCTGTTGCAGGGCAAAGCGAGCGGAGATCGCGGTATTCTGTGGGTTCGTGGCCGAATTCAGCGACAGCTGCGTACTCTGGGCGGCATTGTCGATACGCACGCTGGAAAGTTCCTCTTTGTAAGTATCCTAGCGATAGCGACATTCTGTGTAGGGTTGAAAAGTATGACTTTTCACTCCGACATCGAGCTGCTATGGGCGGACCCATCAACAACGCCGGATTCTCTTCCCTCAGAGATGCTTTCCACACATCAGATGGTGATACAGACTGGAACCGATCCGGATGTCGACCTTCTTCACCCCCATGGCCTCCTTGAACACTTAACTTTAGTACAAAAAGCAACACAAGTCACTGTAACGATGTTTGACATCACTTGGCGTCTCAAAGACTTTTGCCAATCCCCTAGCATTCCAAATTTTGATGCTCACTATATCGAACAGATATTCGAAAATATGATGCCGTGTTCAATTGTTACGCCGTTGGATTGTTTTTGGGAAGGCTCTAAATTGCTAGGACCTGATTACCCAGTTCCTATATCGTAAGTTCATTTAAAAAACTACCTACTATATTTACTACATTACACAATTTTCTGATAGATGCCTCTCGTCCACCTGATACAGCAAATATTATATAATTTCATTTCATATATAATAAAAATAATTTTATTGTGAACAGTTAATTAAAGGAAAAAAAATTTTTAACATGGTTAAATATATCTACGATAACCTTTGACTTTAACATTCAGTCTTCCAAAATAATCAACTGACATATACCGTGTGTCTAGGGGCATGCCGATGTGTACGAAATTGGTAAGCGTATTCCAGGTAAGCGTGCTCCTAGGTCCTGCGTTGAAACATAAGTTCACTACTTAAAATATTAATTAATTATATTATATAAATAAAAAAAGACTTAAAATCGTATCTTTTTTATAGACATGGAATTGGATCCCACGTCAAATGGACCAACTTGAACCCCAGTGAATTGGTTTCTCGTATAAAACAAAAAGAATCTCAGTTCGATTATCAGTCCTTGGAAGACTACCTAAAACGAGCAGGTATAACTACGGGTTATCAGGAAAAACCGTGCCTTAATCCACTGGATCCCGAATGTCCAGCCACAGCTCCAAATTATAATTCCACGCAACAATTAGATATAGGGGTTCAACTAACTAGTGGATGTTATGGCTTCGCCGCCAAATATATGCACTGGCCTGAAGATTTAATTGTCGGTGGTGTTAAAAAGAATAAATCTGGTCATATCAAAGAAGCCAAAGCTTTACAGACTGTCGTACAATTAATGGGCGAAAACGAACTTTATGAATTTTGGTCTGGACATTATAAGGTTCACCACATAGGTTGGAATAAAGACAAAGCTACTTTGGTTTTAAACGCTTGGCAGAAGAAATTTGCAGAGGCATGTTAGAATTATTTTATAAGCAATACTAGTTCCCATCAGTGACAGTTTGAAACAGTGCCTGATTTAACTCCGCGTTGTAAACAAGACGCGATCACTTTCTTTTATAAAACAGCATACATTAAAGTTCAGTAGCAAGTGTAGCAACCTTAATCTAGAGGCTTGGATATACCACTGGCCTTTTAAATCCGGCTCTGATTAAAAAAATAAAAATAATAAAAAAATTTCACAATTGTGTATGTATATTTAACAATGAGCAAAAATGACAAACTTTTTGGCAAATATAATATTTTGTATCAGCAATACGAAGTATGTTACATTGTTTAATGTAGTACGCATTCCATTTTTTTTTACCAATTTTTGCAGGTTCTAACACTGATTTTTCGTTACAGGAAGTGGACCGTCTGTCAATGAGTAAGAAACCATCATCTTCATATTTATTTCTGACGTTTTCAACAGCAAACGTGAATAGATTACTAAATGAATGTTCTCGAGCCGATATAGTGAAATTAGGTGTAGTTTTGGCTGTGGCGTGTGTGTACGGTTGGGTGACCAATTCCGCAATTGCAGCATTAGGTATCCTGGTCTTGGCGAGTTCAGCTGCAGCTGCTTTAGGAGTATGCAGTTTGATAGGACTACCAATGAATCTTTTAAGTACTCACGTGTTACCATTCATAAGCGTGGGACTAGCAATGAGAGAAATGTTCATGATGCTTTCAACGCACATCAGAGATCTTTCACCATCAGAAGTGCTACAAAGGACTGGACCTAATATCATTTCTGCCGCCTTTATGAACTCGGCAGCTTTTTTAGCCGCAGCGGTATTGCCCATTCCTGCATTACGCGTATTTTGTTTACAATGTGCTGTTATGGTTGTTTTTCATGGAGCTGCGTTGCTGATAACATTTCCTTCCATTCTTGCCTTGCAACAGAGGTGCCGAAAATCTGACGTTCCTTGTTTTCGCCCGGAAAATAAAACAACGTCTCCCGCAAACAACAACAATGATGTGGTAAGCAAATTTTTGTCTAGTCAGTATACCCATATTGCACCCGGTGATTTATTTTGGTGATTTTGGAAAAAAACTTAATTTTTATATTTTTGCGATTTTTTAAGTCTGTGAATATCGAGGTGAAAACCTCGATTTCCACAACTTTTTGCTAAAAATTTTATTGTAGGCTCAGGCTTTTGTGTCCACGTTGCCCTTTCAATTATTTTTTCATGGTATTGAATTGTATACTGAACGAAAATACCGTTTTTTTAAGCTTTCAATGATAGATAAAAACAATTACCTATGAATGAACTATATAAAAAAATTCAATGGCATGCCGAAAAAGAGTCCACAACGAAAATCTTTGCCAACAGTTGCTGCAATCCAAAAATCCTGATAAGTCTAAATTTTGCCTCAGTCAACTGTTTTTCTGTACCTTAGAGCTTCCAACATGCAAAATGGCCCATCGGGTATACCACTGCGCCAGATTTATTATTTTTAATAGCCCCCAAATAAATCCCACCTTATTTTTATTAATAACTTTTAATAAACGGTTAATTTCCATTTTTGAGGACAGAATTTACTTATATAAATAATTACGAATCATATAGACAGAAATATGTACGAGTATTTAGAAGCATACCTACCTAATTGTAGGATTTGTTATTATCGTTAAATAATACAATATGTCAGTTAAGAAATACATAAATAACCAACCTTTCCAACACTTAATACGTACAGAGTATCTTATGTGTCATATGTACAGAGTGTCGTAAACGTAGGTGTTAACGACAATAAATATTTCAGCTACATTTTGATTATTAAAACTAATTGTTTGCATATTTTTATTTCTGAAAAATTAAGTAGGCCTTGTCAGAAGCAAAAAATTTTATTAAGAAAAATTATTCATAACTAAAATTAGTACCAACTTTGAAAATAATCGGTATACTTTCATATTTTTTTATTTGATAAATCATTAAATTATAAAATTAAAACCGATTGCCACTAAGTTTGATATGGGTATAAATTTTACAGCGCGTTGGAGATTGTAAAAATTATAGAAATTCTGCATTAACGTAAAAATTGTAAATATAAATTTAACTGAAAAACCAAATATTACATAAATAAATAAATCATTATTGTGCACAAGGCACAAAAGTTCCTACCTTTTGTGTTTTGTGGCTGCCGTCATTCCATTCCACCAAAAAGAATAATTGGACATAAATACAATTGTTCAAAAGATTGTTGGCCTAATCTCGGCGGCCGAAATTATAAAGAGTGACTAATACATAATATAAAAACACTATTACCATAATGCGTATAAAATATAAAATTCTATACGGTTCAATATTATTTATCTTTGTGCCGCTCGCCATGCACATCGGTAGAATCTATAATCGTGTATAGACTGAGTTACACTGAACGTCGATCTATATTTTATCTGTCTTTTGCACTTGGTAGGGAATAGGGAAATGCTTTTTTAGTGGGTGTAAACGGACTTGATTTGCCCGACCTGAAAAACGTCATAGCATAAGCGTAGACGAGGGGTCTAATCCATGGCTATAATAAATTTATAAATTAAAAAAACACAACTGGGACGTTTTAAAATGCTGTAATAATTAAAATTGATCAAAGTGCCGGTTATAGCAAACCGTAAAAAATATTAGATGTTATGTTTTATTATGTTTTTTCAATATTTTCTATATCTTGTTGCCTTTTACGCAGACACGCCAATGGATTTTCGTTCCCGGCACGCTTCATCCCCCTTACTAGTCCAAGAGCTAGCGATGAATCACTATATATAATTTTGGCCGTCGAGTATAGCTATTTTAATTTTTTTAGGGAGTTAAATACCTAACTTCCTTCAGAAAATTAAAAATTCCTACAGCAACGATTTTTTTTGGACTTTTCATAAATTAAGTAGGTAGTAATAAAAATAGTATTTAATAGTAGTATTTTTTTGTGACACAAATACCTAGTATTGAAGTTATTTTCTATTTTCAAAGTATTCAAGTATGTCGTGGATATGCTGATTTTAAATTTAAAAAGGAACAAAAATTGAGAAATTGCTCTGTTTTCGAATAAAATGCGAGATTTTTTTTTCTTAGAAATACCAACCGAAATTCAAGTAGGGGTTCTTAATGACGTTTTTTTCCACAATGTGTCTCCGCCACTGATTCACAAATTTGTGCACCAGAGTAGCAAATTTCTACCCATAATTAGATAAATCAGTAGTCCACTATCTGTCTTAAGCACGTAATATAAGACATGTTTAAATAAATTTGATATATTTTTTAAACCTCTGGTTTTTGTAATTTTTATAAGCAAATTTCATCTTGAACTGAAATGATCTATTGACCGTTTTGAATATTGCACGGTACAAGAACAAGTTAGTGTGCCAGTTCATAACAAATTCACCTAGGCCAGGCGACCGATTTGTGGTTTCTTATTTACTGCATAAAAATATAATTTTTGCAAATTAAAATGATACCAGTGACTATTTAGTAGGTACCTATCCTAATTAAAACTAATTATGGGACAGGTATGTACCTAAACAAATAAAAAATAGAAGGAAACTTTCTTTAGACTTTTTTAATTTGTACCACCTAACGATAATATAACGCGGATGGTAACTTTGTTTTCTCCGTTTTTATCATAATTGAAATGTTAAGAGACATAAGTATACATACATATATGTAAACGAGTAAGTCCCGCCAATACTTTTGCGACTTTACAATTCAATGAGCTACATAATATGTAGTATTATGTGGCATTCTATAGCTAAACGTATTTCTTTGTCGGTGTCCCGCTATAAAAATGTTAACGAATGGTTGAAAAATCTGTTTTGGTAGTACGCTAAGACTTTAAAATAGCATTCGACGCGTGACAAAGATGGGTTATTATATCATACGGGAAGAAACGTTAAAGACTCTCTCCGTTCCTAGAGTCATACCGAGTTTGAAACTCTGCGGTAACAATAATATGCCTGTTACCTATACAGGGTGTTCCAGATAGACCTTCAATTAGACGTTTCTGGAAAACTACGCGTACTGGAATTCTGAAAATTTATGTACGGGGCTTTCTCCTAATGTTCTATCGATTGAAGATATTGGCGTCGCCGTGGAACTTCCGGTTCTACCGGAAGTAGACGTCAACTCGCTTATTTCAAATGGAATGTACTATTTGTTATTTAATTTTTGGATTCTACATCGAATTTTAAGGTAAGTTTCATAACCTTACTTTATCCTTAAACTCAATAGTTTTTGAAATATTTTGACTTTTTCAAAATTTTTGAAAAAACATACACTTAATCGGTTCTATCTCCTTCAATTTTTAAGATAGGAAGCTGAAATTTTAGATGGTCAATACCAAAACGTGACCAAATATCTGGAATATTCGAAAGTTGGTGCATGTTACACAGGGCGTTTAAAAAACACGGACCAATTGTGTCGAATTGAAAGTTTAATAACTCGCTTATTTTAAATAGAACACCCTGTGTTTTATAATGCCATTAGATGCACCTGTTAATTCTCTTTCCATTGGTATAAGCATTCCCTATACCTAAATCCCACCGATTTTGAGATATTTGAACATAACTACAGAGACGAATATAATCCGACCGTTAGCTGTAGGTTGGCTGTGGAAAAACATTTAAATGTCACCAAGTGTCATTACTTATTTAGCAGATTTGCTGTCGTTGCCGTAAAGCGAGTTTGTCGATTTTCCAAGTGTTTTCAATAACAATGGCCACACTCTGGGTTCAATCGATAGAACATTAGGAGAAACCCCCGTATATAAATTTTCAGAATTCCAGTACGCGTAGTTTTCCAGAAACGTCTAATTGAAGGTCTATCTGGAACACCCTGCGTACGGAGTGATACATAAGTTTAAATTGCTCGACAGGGACAGGTACAAATTCGTTGAATTTGTATATAATTAATTCATCCAATGGCGGTATAATATTGGGCTACACCCTTATTAAAAATACCAGAATTTCGACACCAGTGAGGTGTTTTAGTACTGTAGGTATTTCAAAAGGAAAAATATTAATATGCATGTTATTTGTGAAACGAAAAAATCTAGTTATTATTCATATGTAGGTACATTCAACAACACAAGTACATATATGGTAATCTTATCTTGAACTCAAAATAATAATTACTCGAAAATTGCTCTTTTTGCAAATAAAATGGAAGACATTTTTCCTTTCAAATGAATCAAATTAATTATTAGAATATCCAAAACAGTCAGTGGTGTCGACATTCTTGAATTTTTCGTGGGGGTGTCTTATAGTCACTGGCTGATATAATTATAAACAGATTAACTGAATTGTTATCCTTATTTAGTTAGGTCGTCAACTGAAGTTTCGTTAATCTCCTTCAAACATCTTTCGAGATATTTGTAACGCTTTTTTTTTAACATCCTGTAACTTGAAAATGAAGCAACTTTGAATTAAGTTATTTGTCCCAATTGTCATATTTTAACCTTAAGATTATCTGATAGCATTTGCGTTCCTTCCTTCATTTAAACACACCCTGTAAATATGATCGATTGTTATAACAAAAAAAAATATTTTTTTTATAATGAAACAGATGGATTTTGATGAACTTTTGGAAAATCGTCAAACTTGAAATAAAAATTAATTAATTAAAATTGAAGATATCAATATTTTGTATGAGTTTAAACCATGGTTAGTTAAGTGAAATAGACTGATTCAACTATGAGAAGGTAAACGTGAATAAAATATACATAGCACCTTCATCGTGTAACAGCGCCGGATTTAGGCATAGGCAGGCTAGGCACTGCCTATAGGCCCCCACCAATTGCTGACAAGAAAGCTCGAAAAGCATTATTGTAAATTATGTAATAAGTGTTAAATAATTTGTAACCAAAATTTTACCAAATTATATAGATTAATTATAATTTAAATTCAAATATAAAAACTTTTTTTAAGTATCAATTAATTAATCGGTAAGTAATCAATCAAAAGTATTATTATTTTAGTACTAAAATTCATTATTATGCACTACACTTTATAATTAAATTAGAGGGAAAAGTATTCACTAATTTTTGTTAATTTGTAAATTTTTGTTCCTAGAGAAAATAAATTTTAATTTTCTTTGCAATGTTTAAATTATTCCTTTGAAAACAAGATTATTTATTTAATAAATTCGAGAGAAAATCTTGAAAGAGACGCATAAAAAATATATTATTTTTCAATCCCTTAACTAGGCCCCCACCAAATTTCTGCCTATAGGCCTCACACGCGTAAATCCGGCGCTGTCGTCTAATAACACAATTTTGATAATATACACATGCTTTTCGTTCTTAATATAATTATTGTCATTTACTTAGGAATTTATAGTAGGTTTTTGTATATTTGTTATTATATTTTATTTACTATTTTGATTATGCACAATTTTCTACTATTTAATTATGTTTATTACATAACTATTGTTCAAGCCATGACCTATTTTACTTTATTTTAATGATTTAATGTGTTTCTTCCTTTTTTTCTGTTTTGACGTGACACTACCTATGTGTAATCCCATGCAATTAAATAAATGAAATGATACAACAATATACAGGGTGTGCCATTTAACACTCCTGCTGCCAATATCTCCGAAATGAAGAAACCTATTTCAGTTCCGGAAATTGGGGTTGTTAGGTCCCTCGAATAGCTTCAAATTGTAGTTAGAATTGTTTGTTCAAATCTTTCTGTATAGATGGCGTGACGATACTAAAATTTTTTTTGTTCCCTGGAACGTGGAAATACAGTCCATCTGAAAGATCGTTAAATTTTGAGTAATTATTGTAATAAAATATAAAGTTTTTCACTATATTTACTTATTTTCGATATATGTCGACATCAATATGCAATGTATGATTAACAGGAAAATCTATTATTTTAGTTAAATCACAATGAGACAAAATATTCTTTTAAAATATTGTTATAATGGCTTTATTCACATCACATACTAACTAACAAACAATAAATTATAAAAAAAAACGAATGATCAACTACAGAAAAAAAAATCACAATTGTAAATCTCATAAGGCGCAGAGACGAACCGTATTTTATCAAATGTTATTAAAAAATGCAGTCATAGGTGGCTCATGTCATTTGTTTAAAATAAAACAATGACAGATGACATATTAGTTTTCCAATAATTACAGTTTTATCAGTTTGTGTCTTTCAATTTAACTATACTAGTTATACGATTTACCATTGTACAATTTTTTTCTGTAGTTGATCATTTGTCTTTTTATAATTTATTGTTTGTTAGTTAGTATGTGGTGTGAATAAAGTCATTATAACAATATTTTAAAAGAATATTTTGTCTCGGTGTGATTTAGATAAAATAATAGATTTTCCTATTATATCATACATTGCATATTGAAGTCGACATATCTCGAAAACAAGTAAGTATAAGGAAAAACTTTATATTACAAAAATTACTCAAAATTTAACGATCTTTCAGACTGACTGCATTTCTACGGTCCAGGGATCAAAAAAATTTTTAGTATTACCTCGCCATCTATACAGAAAGATTTGAACTAACAGTTCTAACTACAATTTGAAGCTATTCGAGGGATCTAACAACCCCAATTTCCAGAACTAAAATAAATTTCTTCATTTCGAGATATTGGCAGCCAACGGGAGTGTTAAATGGCACACCCTGTATTGGCTAAAATTATTAAATTACAACTAATAATTTAATATTATAACAATAAAACCTTAAAAGGGACAAACGTGGAAAGAACCTGCTCGGCCGGAAAGCTAGATGGCGGGGCGTTTGCTGGACCTCATAAAATTTCTAGACTTTTCAAAAAGGATCAGGGTTGCGTCAGTGTCAGTGTTAGTTTAGCATATTCAAAATTGACATCTGTTATCTTTGGTGTCCGCTTTACTGTTAAAACCACATTAGTTGTAATAAAAAGCTGTAGATGAACTACTCGTTATTGAAACCATGTATTACGGCTCGGGAATATCTCGGCTAAATGAAGAAAACCTGCGGTGAAGTAATAACCCAAATAACCTCCCCGTAACAATATTGCTTATGGCAAATTAATCTTTATTTTTAAGGCATTAGCCATCATTGATAAGTGGTCGGTATTGGTTGAGAGGTTGTGATTTAAATTCGTAAAAAAATCTTCAACCGCAGCAATATACCTATATACATCATCATAATATATGAGGAAATTAAATACATATATCACTTACCAATATGACGCTTACTGGATTTGGCTTAGACGTCCGACCATGGCTCATTGTCAGTTTAAACCACTTCACATTTATATCACTTAACACTTAACTAAATTGTAAATATTGTATGAATGTACCCGTGTACACATTTTTAACACTTTTTAATTTACACACTTTTAACACTTATTAATTATATATTTGCTGCATAACTTTGAACTTTCAAGTATAAAGGAAAACCGAATGCTACTGAATTACTGCGCATGAGCAAACAGGCCGGTCAACTGCAAAAGTTAAAATATTTAAGTATTTTCATGGCTAACCAGATTTTGTTTTTAAGATATCACTTGGTATTATATTAGTAACAACGATATAAATTACGATGGAGAGGTTATTATTTCAGTTGAATTCAAATAAATCTTCAAATCATAGTATTAAAATTAAATACATATTTCACTTCACAATATGATGCTACTGGATTTCGCTGGGACATCGGGCCATTAGTTGATTTACACCATTAATCGCATAAATATCAGTTAACACAATAAAATATATTGTTTACATGTACGCCTTTAGTTACACACTTTTAACAGTTTTAATACTTATTAATTTATTTTATTTACTGGATAACGTTGAACTTTTAAGTAGAAACGAAAACTGTGCTGCTACTGCGCATGAACTGACAGGTTGGTCAACTGTACAACTTGAAATATTTAAATAATTGCTTTCTTACCAAACAAACTAATCAACGATTGATTTTACTGACATAATTTTATAATCAACTCATCACTGTTTTGTTTTGTTACTTTTTAAGTGCTCTCAATTCTTTCGGCATAAATAGAGAACTATTTATATTAACTATTACATATATAAATAAAGATCAGGTATATGTATTTGCATAATTTACAAGATATTTTGGAAAAAAGTATCACAAAATTAGGGACTATAGAACATCAAAAAGTAAGATTTTTTTCCTATTATGGACCATAGTCATCATCTTTTCTCTTTGAGATGCATTGTCAACGAAAATTTTTTAAAATTAAATTTTTGATTTGGTACAGGTAAGGTTTCACGCGTGCTAAATGCGTTAGTGTTGCAGATGGTTTAAAACTAATAATGCGGACGTATTTTCAATGCATTACGGTAGTTTTTTTTTGGAAAAGGCATGGAAAAAATTTGATTTTAAAAAATCGTATTTGACGCCATGTATCTCAAAAACGGACGGTAGGTTGTTCATAGCAAGATATCGTCTTATTTTTATCGGCCTCCGAATTCATGGTATCCTATGCAAAAAAAACCCTGTATAATAAAATATATATTTTTTAATAATAAAGAAAATGTTTTTAATATAAAAAGTTATTTATAT